ATTGGTTTTTATACTTTATTAAAACTGGTTCAGTTGGTTTGACTTTAATTTCTAATTAATTTTTCTTTCTAGTCATTGTGAATCAACCAGCATGGTGGGACACCCCATGGATATCTAAATTAAAAATGTAATGGCAACTTATATTTTAAAACCATCAGAATATCTGCAAGCATTTTCAGTTGTAAGATCATTACCTTTCACTAGAATGCTAGAATTTATCTGATGCTTCACACTCATGTATCTTTATATTTTTAAGAACAATTATACACACACACACACACACACACACACACACGTATCTGATATCTTTAAACATTTTGCTAACATGATCTCATAATTATTTTACCCTTTTTGTTGATGCACTGAGACTGAGACAGATATTTTGTGGGGCTGAAACCCCCAAAGTCACCATTGTTTCACAGCCCGTGTTTGGGACTAACTTAGCAAGCTTTGTGTCGTCGGAGGAGAGATATCTTTGTGTGTCAGGGGAGAAATATCTTTCACTGTGGGACATCTCTTAAGAGGAAGTAATTCAAATTTCCCTCAGTGAAGTCAGTCGTTCAAAAGTCATTCATTATTCTCTCTCCTAACTCTAATAGGACACATTCATAGATATGTAAGAGGAGAGCCTCACCTCTGCTGTGACATCCCGTGAGCCTTGAGATGGCTCCCCATGTCCCCCAGCCCTTCCCAGACAGAGCTGTCCCTTCACATGAGAAGCCCCGTGGCAGGTGGAGATGTGGGTGGTCACCTTGGCACTGCGTGTCAATGAGATGTGTCTAGAACCTTGGCCAGACTTCTAAAACAGGCACGTATGTTTGATTCAAGAGTCATCTGAGCTGGGGGAAAGAATTAACTATTTGTGCAGAATCCACTCTGGGCCAGGAGCTGTGTTTTCTACAACTAGATCTGCCTTTTGGAGTATAGACTCACTGGAGGTATAGACATGAAGTGCTTTTATTTTTTTCACTTCTGCCCCCAGCTATATTGAGCTCTGCTTTCCTGTGGGCAGAAGGACAGATTGCTAGGATACGGACAGACTAGAGGGAGAAAGATTTCTGTGCAGTTTCCAGCAGTACCTCCACCAGATGCTTGGTGGAGTTGATGGAGGGAAATGAGGATGACAGGCAGGAGGGGTGAAATCTTACAGGGACCCCGTGATTGTGAGGGTTTTCTGAAATCGGTTTTGGAAATGCTTCGTAATGTCAAGAGCCACTTACTACTCTTCATTCAGGTGATATGTACCAAAGTAACTATTGCCAGCATGCTGCTGGGCCCTTTCTGTATCTCTAATCTCCATAGCAATCATGCAAGTGTCCATCCTATTTTTAATATAAGAGAATTAAGGCTCAGAGAAGTGAAGTGACTTCCCCAAGTTCACAAGACAACACAGCTCAGCTAAGCCTAGGTTCCCTAGGTATTACACACCCACAAGCTTGGGTGTGTAATACCAAAGTGTATGGTCTTCCCATTCTACTGTCCTGCCTCTCTTTTTCCCCAATTGCCTTTGCTCTAGGCTTGTTGCCTGTCACTCCACTGTCTAGGGACCAGTGTGTGGGGTTCTTGTCTTCATAGATCCATGTATATGTAGATAGATCGGAATGTAGTTGAATAGTATGAATTTCAAATTATTTTAATAGCATTAGTGGAGTCATTTAAGTGTAAGAGCTTGAAGATCAACAATGAGAGGGGGCAGGGAAACAGTTTAAAGGCTACATGTAATGCTACCAGCCACTTCATTTAGTAGGTGTGTGCCCCCTCCCCAAATAAATTTTATACATATCCTTTTTTTTTAAAAAAGAGGAAAACATGTATTAGAAATTTTTAAAATTATTGTATATTACTATTCTATTTATATATCTTCTCAGAATTTTAGCAATATTCCCATAACATGTTGTGTAAAAATAAACTGAAATAATTTGACTTCTTAAGAAAAATTAGGACAAGAGAGTAATGATGGAGACAGAAACCTATTCTTCCTCAGTCCCTCTGGTACCCCTGGGCTCCCGTGATGTGGCCCTCCTTAAAGATTCCATTTTTCATCCAGCATGGCCTCAGAACACTATCGCACTGCATTCCCACATGCCCACCAGAGAAGCTGGCCCTTTGCTGCCCTGGGCAGGGGTGGAAGGGTGTCTGCCCGCTGTGCCGGGCCCTGAGACGCTGTGTGCGGTCACCAGAAGTGCATTTTCATGGCGTGGCCTCACCTGAAAAGCAAACACTTGTAAGATGCACTTCTGTGAGTCCCAAACTGCAGACTTTGCCGGACCCCTGATGCTGTCCACCCCTCCACGGCCTCCAGCACACACGTTCTCCTACGCACACCCAGCCTTTAGAGGCCCTTCACGCCACCTTCACAAAGCAAGTGCCCTCCGATTTGCCCTCTGGTTTCTTTAGTCCTCATGACTTTCTGAGGTAGGAATATTCCTCCTACCCAAAGATAGGGACCTGGGGGGTGAGGTGGGTGTAAAGCAGTTTATCCAAGCTCACGCCACTCAACTTAATCCAGGGCTTCTGGGCGAGATGTTCCTCCTATGACATCAGAGCTGCAGCAGACACAGTGTCTGTGTGGAAGGTTCACTTCATTTGGTGATTATCTGGTTAATTTGATCAACACAGCACTAAGGATTTTATATTACACATGTACAGGTTCCTCTACCTCTAATATTATTTACTTCTCTGTCCTCAGCACCCATGTGGGACTGCACAAGGGCTGCCTGGGAAGCCATTATCTGTCAAACGGGCCCCTTCCCCCTGGAGGGTAATAAGAATTCAACTCTTATTTGAAGCAAAAGTTCCCAGGGGGTCACATGGCCCAATAGCAAAAGATTATGATTTCTTGTTGGTTTAATAGCATCTCTTTTGTAATTCTGAAAGTGCTTTGTTTTAATTGGATTTGTTAAAGGAACAAAAGGGAATAGGTGCCTTACAGTTAAAATAAAATATTAAGATTATTAGTTTAACAGCCTAGAAATGCCTTGTTCATCAACCAACATGTTCAAAGCACGCAACGCAACCTTGACACCCAGAAAGCAAAGAACCAAAGTCGGTGCTGATACCTTTAAACCCCAAGAGATGATCATTAATTCAGTTTCAATCAACTAATTCCATTTCAATCAACGTGGTTTAAGCACTGCTATTGCCAGACAGACACAATTGCATTTTCTCACAGCCAGGCCCTCCCTTGCAGATAAAGAAACTGGGCTCAGAGAAGCAGCTTGGCGGGGAGAGAAGTGCAGGGCCCTTAGATCCACATGCATTGCCACCCAGCTCCCCAGATGCCATCCTGTGACCCTAGACAGTTTCAGGAGCCTCTCTGAGCTTCAGCCTCCACTTCTGTAAATAGAATTATAAAAGTGGATGCTTCTGAAAGGCGAGGTAAGGGTGAGTGAGGACCATGAAGACCTTTGTTGTGACTGTGGGGGACAGAGTGCAGAGAGGCGCGATGGCTGGACAGGACCACATAACTGATGACAGGAGAGCCAGGACACCAGGATTCCAACTGGGTAGAAACCTGATCCAGACCCCGCAGCCCAGCATCCTTCCTTGCTGGGGCATCCCTGCCTCCCAGGGGCAGACTTTGGGTTACTCCATCTGAAAGCCAGAGAGACAGCTCCTCTGAGGCACAGTGCCTCACACCTCAACAAGGATCCCACAGTTGGGGGCAGTTCTTAAGTGTCCAGTGATACCTGCATTTTTTCTGCACCACGCCCCATCTGGCCCCAGTGAGAACTTGCTGAGGGGTGGACATGGTGCAGATTCAGGTATACCCCAGCAGTGTGCACTGGCAGGCACCCCCATGTGGTACCCCCATCTGCTGTAGGACAACCCCCAGCATTGAGAAAGCCTTTGCTATAAAACCTGCCCACCTGTGAAGCTGTGAGATACCTTGAGGGGGAATGTGGAAGCTTGGAGGCCAGTAGAACTGGGCTCCATCCCTACCCTCACTGACAATCTGATTTTATTCGTGAGCTCAGTTTACTAATCTGCAAAATGGGTTAGAAAATTGCAGGTTTTTGTGAAAATTGAGGTGATGACTGTATGCTAAGTGATTGTATGTTAAATGGTACTCAGTGAATGGTAATCTGGTTCCTAGCACCTTTATGATGCAAATAATGCTGATAAATTCACCCAACAGCACCATATTGACCGCCTCCTTCAAATTACTCCACACTTACTCCAGGCCAGGCATTTTACAGACACTATAATTCTTACACCTGCCAGATGTATTTATTGATTTTGGTCTCCACTGGACAGATATGGCACCTGAGGCTCAGAGAGGCTAAGTAGTTCATCCAAACTCCTGGAGACTCGAAGTAACAGCACTTACCTTTGTCTGCGGTAGAAATAGGGACATGAAGACCTTTGTCTGTGGTAGAAATAGGGACGTGAAGTGTGTAGTCTAGTGTGTTCCATGCTGAGTACCTCCTTGCACAGCCCACCGCAGCCCGAGACTCAACCATGTGTTTGTGGGTTCCGGGGTTCAGGATCACTCAAAGACAGGGTTTGCCTCTAGACTTCTCAAAAGATAGACTGTGCTCTAAACCCCAGCACAGTCAGCAGTCATCAGGTTCCCTTCACCGGCTCCAGCCTCCAGCCTGAGAGTTTCCTTAGAGGGGTGATTGGCCGGGTGAGGAAATAGCACACACACTCATCTCCACCTGCTTGTGGAGCAGGAAACAACACTCAAGGGGACTCAGACGTTGAAAGATCGTCGAGGGGACCCCAAAGGCCCACAGATCCCCACACTAACCTCCCAAGCTTGTCCATGGCCCAGGTGCCTGAGGACGCCAGCAAGGTGCCCTCCCTGCCTGGGGCTCGGGCAGGCTTCCTCCCCTTATCTGTAATGAATCAGCTGGCGTATGGGGTTTGTAAATAAAGCACACCAGGGAAGCCTGCATTTCCAAAGTTGCTTGCTTAGAGGAGGAGAGAAAAAGAGTTTAAAGAGGTGTTGTTTGGCAGAATTAAAGTAAAATAAGTGCCACCAGAGGAATGCTTACCCTGATGTCCCAGTTCTTCCTCCTCGACTGTGAAACTTTGTCACCTGGCAACAAGAGACCTGGCGTTAATTAGCATAATCTTGACGCCAGCCTGCAAGGAAGGCTGGGCTGAAAGGGTCTCCAGGATAGGGTCTGGGGTCCCAGGGGCTTGTACAGGGCTTCCTCCTGGTTTCCCCCAGCAATGCCCTGGGGATTACAGTACAGGACAGCTGCTTTCCATGGCGACCGCCGGAAGTGCACGTTGCTAACAGAAGGGAAAGAGCCACGTTTGCCTCTTCGAAGGGACAGATAGCTTACTGTGGCTCATGAAATATCATTCGACTTCCTTGTAATTTGCCTCAGTATTTCTGTCTGCTCTTTGGTTTTTGAGAGGATGTCTTATCTGTTTGTTTATTTATTTGGCAAAAAGGTTAAATGTTAAAATTATTTTGCAAATAATAAAATAACATTATAGGAAAATTAGAAAATGCATATATAGAAACAAAAATATAAAAATAAACTGTATTACCCAGATTGAATTAAAAAATAAATGAAATAATTTTCAAATAAATCATTTGAAATGCAAAATTAAGCCAAGCAATGAAAATTTTGGAAGGTATGAAAAAGGAAAATGAAAAAATTCAAATGAAAAAATAAAAATATGGTAAGCCATTAAGTTAGAAATATAGTTAACTATAAAACTTAAATATGTGAATACTAATATCTATCCAAAATGAAATAAAATTGATCATTTAATTTAGACAATAAATGGATTGAACATAATGAGCAAATGAAGATGACTAGAAAATTAAAAGTTACCTGAACTTCTAAAACTTAGTGCACTTCTAATTAGAATTTTCTAAAAACATATCATTTAAATTAGAAAATAAGTAATCTGAAAGTTATAAAACATAAACAAAAATAAAATTAGTATTTTAAGGGAGAAAATATATGAAAACAATACATTGATTTTAATTTTTAAAAATTTTATTGAACTATAGATTTACAATGTTGTGTTAATTTCTTCTGTACAGAAAGGTGGATCAGTTATGTACACATGCACACATATATGTATATATGCACACACATATGGCTTCCCAGGTGGCTCAGTGGTAAAAGAATCTTCCTGCCAATGCAGGGACACAAGTTTGATCCCTGGCTTGGGAAGATCCCCTGGAGAAGGAAATGGCAGCCCACTCCAGTACTCTTGCCTGGGAAATCCTATGGACAGAGGAGCCTGGAGGGCTACAGTCCATGGGGTCACCAAGAGTCGCACACAACTTAGTGACTAAACAACAACAAACAACACACATATATTAATATATTCTTTTTCATACTCTTTTCCATTATGGTTTGTCATAGAGTATTGAATATAGTTCTCTGAGCTATACAGTGGAACCTTGTTGCTTATTCATTCCATAGATAATAGTTTGCTTCTGCTAACTCCAAACTCCCATTCCTTTCCTTCCCTACCAGCTCCCCACCACCCGTACCTTGGCAACCAAACTGTTTTCTATATTGTGAGTCTGTTTCTGTTTTGTAGATGTGCTGATTTGGATCACGTCTTAGATTCCATTTGTGAGTGATATCATGGTGTTTGTATTTCTCTTTCTGACATTTCACTTAGTATGATAATCTTTAGGTCCATCCATGTTGCTGCAAATGGCATTATTACACTCTTTTTGTGGCTAAGTACAATTCTATTGTGTAAATATAAAATATATACTACATCTTTATTCATTCCTCTATCAATAGACATTTAAATTGTTTCCTTGTCTTGGCTATTGCAAATAGTGCTGCTATGAACATAAGGGTCCATCTGTCTTTTTGAATTACAATTTTGTCTGGGTATATGCTCAAGAAGAGAATTGCTGGATCATATGGCAACTTATTTTTAGTTTTTTGAGGAACCGCCTTACTGTTTTCCATGGTGGCTGTACCAATTTACATTCCCACCAACAGTTTAAGAGGGTTCTCTTTTCTTCACATCCTTTCCAGCATTTGTTATTTGTAGACTTCTAATGATGGCCACTCTGACTGGTGTGATGTGTCTCATTGTAGTTTTGATTGTCACTTCTCTTATAATTAGCGATGTTGAGAATCGTTTCATGTGCCTGTTGGCCATCTGTATGTCTCTTTTGGAGAAATGTCTATGAAAGTCTTCTGCCCGTTTTTCAATTGGGTTGTTTGGGGTTTTTGTTGTTGTTGTTGTTGTCGAGTTGCATGAGCTGTTTGTGTATTTTGTAAATTAAGCCCTTATCGGTTGCATTGTTTGCAAACATTTTTTCCCATTCCTTAGGTTGTCTTTTCGTTTTGTTTATGGTTTCCTTTTCAGTGTAAAAGTTTGTACTCTTGATTAGGTACCACTTGTTTAGATAAATACCTTTTAAAATGCAGATATATAAAGCTTTGTAAAAATCAGAGCCTCTTGATTTCAGCATCTAGAAGTAATTTGAAGTTATATAAACCTCCAGACTCTTCATGCATCAGCAGCATCAGATTTACAGCATAGTTGTGCAATAATAATTCAGTAATTTTGCTAATGTTCATTTTTAACTTCCAAATATACCCAAGTTGACAATCAGGTAACTGCCCTCTAATCCAGCCAGAACAAAGATTTTTGTTGTCATTTTGGGGTTTTTTTTGTTGTGGTGGTGGTTTTTGCTTTTGTTTTCTTTTCCCCTTCAGAGGAAAGTAGTTGTCTTCAGAGTCAGGGCCTGGAGTCAAGGTTTGGTCAAGGTATGGTCCAATAGATGCTCTGCAAAGCCTGGTGTGCTGGACACTCATGGGTGCCTGCACTAGGTTCTAGCAAACCCTAGTGAAGTTCTCTAGTCTGCACATCATCTCTTACCCCACCTCCATTTCCACACCTGAAGACAGAGATCACGGCTATCTCATTGAGTTCTTGTGAAAATTAGACAACAAACAAAAAGTCTTTACAGTTTCTAATGCATTAGGCAAATATTATTATTGTTTTAATAATAGATTTATACATGTTAAGACAGGAAGTTACAATAAAAGGGGTCAATATCCTTTAATTCAGGAGGATATCTCTATTTTCCAAGAATGCCTATCTATTACTGGATTTCTATTGACCTACAGGGAAACACAGTGGTAAAAATCTGCCTGCCAATGCAGGAGATACAAGAGATGCAGGTTCAATCCCTGGTCAGAAAGATTCCCTGGAGTAGGAAATGGCAACCCACTCTAGTATTCTTGCCTGGAAAATTCCATGGACAGAGGAGCCTTGTGGGCTTCCGTCCATGAGGTTGCAAAGAGTTGGACACAACTGAGCAACTGAGTATGCAAGCATTGACCTACAATCTAGATTTGAAAACTAGACTAAACCCAAATTTGCTTCTGAGAAAGGAAATGAGGATGGAGTATGTTTCTATTAGCAGTCTCTCAGCTTCTCGCGGAAAACTCTGCCCACCCCACAGACTGCTTCCCCAGCATGCTCCTCCAGAGCCACACCCAGGCAAAAGATGCTGGCCTGAGACACAGCCCAAACCATTAGTAGACACACTTCCAGTTTGACAAGATGAGTGAGTTTTCTTCTCAATGTGGATTGTATTTTCTTGACATCTCTTAGTTACTCACTAACCCGTTTCACCATGGCCTCATAACTGTTTTGTGAATAGAAAAGAAACAGGAGAATTTGGAGAGGCATCAGTCTTCTTAAATATGTCTACTTCAGCTCTGGAAGCCCAGTTTCCCTGTAGGCTCTTCCTGGTTATTTTCTTAGTGTCTAAGGACTAGCCATAGCCTCCTAATCCCAGAGGTGAGAAGGACAGTCAGGGACACCTCAGATCCCATCCTTCCCTGGGCTGAGAGGGTGTAGCCTCCAGCCAGATGAGTCCATTGGCAGAGACCATTCTGGCCTGGGCTAGCCTACCCTCTGAAGGCCGCTGGCAGTCTTCTCTACCAGCCTCCCTAGGAGAGATGTGAGTTCCTAGGCTATGCCTCTGGCTCATTCTGAGAGACAGGCTCAGGGTAGAGGGGAGGTGCCAATCAGGTGGAGCTGGACTAAAGGGAGTGGAGTCAAAGGCAAGACACTGAGGCAAGCCATGGGCACTGGGGTTCTGGAGTAGAGAATGCCCCAATACCACGTGGCAGCAGTACTCAAGCTTCGACCATTTCTAGGGCTTCACAGACACAGATTTGATTAAAGTGAAATAGCACAGGTAAAAGTCAGTCTCAAAAGAGGAAAGAATTTGAACCCAGCCTAGCTGTTGACCAACCACAAAGTTCTACTTAAAGTTAGTGTCCCATCTATGGAAGTCTTCCAGAAGAGTTTAGACACCTGTCTTGGGGTAAGGGTGAGTTGGTAAGATGTCCTCTGTGAGCCCACCATGCTAGGCCACCGTAAGGTTAAGCAGAATGTCCTACCTAGGCCTCAGTGACTTTAAACTCTTCCATTCTTCTCAACTCCATCCTAGGTGGCCCGAAGGCCTGGACTCTTGCCCCATAGACTCCATGGCAAACCCTGAGTTGACAGAGCAGGAGATCTGATTCACAGGTGACACAATTATTCTAAGAGCTTCCAGAATGGTATTGGCAGAACAAGGCAGGTCTTGACCAGAAACACGTCTTCACTCATTTTCTACATTGTTCTTCCTCCCAGAGTAAAAAAGAATCAATCCTGCTCTAGGATAGCATCAACATCCACTAGAACTATACCCACTGAGGGAGCCCTGTGCCCACACCTGTGCTAACCTGCCCCAGACCCGTGGCCACACTTGCTCCCCAGCACTTCTGGGTCAGCCATGTTTGAAGGATGAGGTGACAGCGGTTCAGAGCAAGCAAGTGGTGGGGGCAGAATTTGAACCCAGGTTCTAGTGACCCCAGAGCTGATGCTTTTTCCCATGTGGGCTCCCTCCAACCTTAGATGGGCTTTAGAAAGCCAAGATTGATCTCTGGCATCTTGTTTAATCTACAGCTTATGCTATAATTATGGGATAGTACCAATTCTGAAAGAAGTACTTTAATGATGAGATATTCATAAAATTCACATAGACCATTACGAAAATTCCATAACTGCCTTCAGATGAACATGATTTTTTGAAAAAAGAAATCTTTCAGTGTCCCATCTATGGAAGTCTTCCAGAAGAGTTTAGACATCTGTCTTGGGGTAAGGGTGAGTTGGTAAGATGTCCTCTGTGAGCCCACCATGCTAGGCCACCGTAAGGTTAAGCAGAATGTCCTACCTAGGCCTCAGTGACTTTAAACTCTTCCATTCTTCTCAACTCCATCCTAGGTGGCCTGAAGGCCTGGACTCTTGCCCCATAGACTCCATGGCAAACCCTCAGTTGACAGAGCATGAGATCTGATTCACAGGTGACACAATTATTCTAAGAGCTTTCAGAATGGTATTGGCAGAACAAGGCAGGTCTTGACCAGAAACACGTCTTCACTTATTTTCTACATTGTTCTTCCTCCCAGAGTAAAAAAGAATCAATCCTGCTCTAGGATAGCATCAACATCCACTAGAACTATACCCACTGAGGGAGCCCTGTGCCCACACCTGTGCTAACCTGTCCCAGACCCGTGGCCACACTTGCTCCCCAGCACTTCTGGGTCAGCCATGTTTGAAGGATGAGGTGACAGCAGTTCAGAGCAAGCAAGTGGTGGGGGCAGAATTTGAACCCAGGTTCTAGTGACCCCAGAGCTGATGCTTTTTCCCATGTGGGCTCCCTCCAGCCTTAGATGGGCTTTAGAAAGCCAAGATTGATCTCTGGCATCTTTTTTAATCTACAGCTTATGCTATAATTATGGGATAGTACCAATTCTGAAAGAAGTACTTTAATGATGAGATATTCATAAAATTCACATAGACCATTACGAAAATTCCATAACTGCCTTCAGATGAACATGATTTTTTGAAAAAAGAAATCTTTCAGAGAGAACTCACCTTTGGTTAGGTGAGTTTCTGGATACTGCTGGTAATGCTGTCTTTTTTTGATGGTAAGGAAATGATGGATCTTCCTTGGAGCTCATAGCCGGTGAAATGAGGGGTAGGATGGTAAATTGCCTTTATCTTTTGCACGCCATTCCACATGATGGCAGTGTCACAAAAGACCACAGGCAAAATTCTAGAACTTTTTCTGAAAGAGGAAAAACAGAGGCCCTCTCTTTTCTTGGACTTTTGCTCCCCCAGTCCTCTTCCACTGTCAGATTTCTAAAATAAAGTACCAAGTTCAGCAGGCTTTGCTCTACTAACTCCACACCCTTGAGGCTCAGCCCCACATCCTCAGAAAGGCTCAGAACACATTCTTTTCAAGGTCGAGATCTTCACTGTCTCCAGCCTGGGCTCTATCCTCATTTATAGCCTTCAAAATTTTCTGAAACTGGGGGCTTCAGGTTTATAGACTGCATAGAAAAGCTTGTCTCCACTTGAGTCTTTGCAAGCTAATGCGATACATGTGACCATGTTTTGTCTGTTTGCTGTTGTTACTGTTTGCCTAAATAAAATGGACTGAAATGATGACTTCTCTATTGGGGGGAAGAGGTGAATCCCAGCAAGGGAGTTGCTTTCTGTTTATAGAAAATCTGCCAAGGAAGGTATTGAATGAGCAAGGTTGGGGAACCTGGACAGACATCAGAGCAGTGCTGTGATGCAAAGATAAAGAGGTGCAGGCCTGTTGGGGCACTCGGGTACCAGTCCTTGTCACATGAAGCTGCAGTCCCTGTGGGCTGAATGTCCCTCTGGGATGTGTGTGGGAGCAGGGTCCATGGGTACCTGAACAGGACTGAGGCAGAGGTCATGGCTGGAGAGTGGCGGATCTTGATTTGGTTTGGAGGAACATTCAGAATGAAAACCCGGTTTGGGGAGTAGAAGGGGCATCTCAGGAAAACAGAGGAGGAAAGAAATAGAGCTGGAAAAGGAACCATAGAACCCCAGAGGCCAAGGAACTGGGATTTATACATTCTTGCTGAGCAGGAGAAGGCAATGGCACCCCACTCCAGTATTCTTGCCTGGAAAATCCCATGGACGGAGGAGCCTGGTAGGCTGCAAGTCCATGGGGTTGGTGAGTCGGACACGACTGAGCAACTTCACTTTCACTTTTCATTTTCATGCATTGGAGAAGGAAATGGCAACCCACTCCAGTGTTCTTGCCTGGAGAATCCCAGGGACGGAGGAGCCTGGTGAGCTGCCATCTATGGGGTCGCACAGAGTCGGACACGACTGAAGCGACTTAGCAGCAGTAGCAGCATCTGAGCAGAAGCAGCATGTCACATGGAGAGGTTCCTTCCCCACACCCTCCCCAACACTGCATCCTATACACCTTTATACTCTTCCCTACCACATAGCTTAAAATGGTGTTTCCTTGGTTTGATTTGTGTTTCTTAATTATATATGTGGTCATATAAATTGGTACAACTTCCTAAGAGGACAGTTTGGCGACATGTAGCACACTTGATAATTCTCATAGTTTTTAGCCGAGTAGTCCTGCTGCCAAAAATGTATCTCGTGGATACATTCAGAGATTCAAATCATGAAATCATTACAAGACTTAAGTCTCATAAATCACATAGATTGATGTCCAAAGATGATCACACAAACATCATTCGTGAAGACCAAGCCCAGCACGGGGGAAGCCCCCACCAGGTCCCATCCCTCTGTGCCAGGCTGCCGAGCTACTGTGGCCACAGGACAGTGTGGGTACCTCCAGGAGCAGGGTGGAGACCCGCGTGGATAAGATGATCCCACATACCAAGAGCAATTCATTTTAAACAGTGTGAGCAAATAGACTGCCGTATGGCTAAAACTCTTTTGGAAATTATAGATGTTTTTTGTGTGGGAACAGTAGTTTGCAGACTAGTGTTTTATACCTTATGACTTTCTGTATCGTCTGCACTTTTTAGCCATACATTCACGTGTCAGTATATTATATTCACAAATAATATACTGTAGTCACATGTGTTTTGTTCACATGGGCAAAGAAGGCCAAGCTGTGGTTATGGGAAATCCAGTGTAGAGTGTGAGACCCCAAACTTGCTCTTGCATGGCCCTGGGACTTCTCCAGGGGCCATGCTTCAGGCAGCAGTGTATTCTGGAATCATATAATAGCAAGGGGGATGGCAAGAACCCAGCCTTCAATAGGGCAGTGTGGGAGCAAGAAGAGCTTGGGAAATAATCTTGCTGCTCTGGGAAGTCGATGGCCATTCTGGATGCCCCAACCCCACCCAGGAAGTTCCACCTCTCCCTCCTTTTGTACCTTGAGACATTTGGTCACCACCATCATTTTCTGTCCCACAGGAGGTACCCCAGCTCCGACAAGACCATGCTGCAGAAGTGGCAGGTACAGTGACCCCTCAGAACACTGTGGGTTCAAGGAAACCCTCAGGAAAGCAACTCAGCAATAGCTCAGGCCCCAGGGATGAAGAGAGAAGGCATACTGGTGAATCAGGAGGGATCTTGTTTTATTAATTTGTTAAAATGTCTCAAGCATTTCCCTGAAGAGATCTCAGTGACGAAAGGCGATTCTTGAGTCAGAGCTGGGGAGTTAGTATGAGCATGTGTGTGCACATACATAAGCTCTATGTGCACACATATGCTCCATCCATGAAGGTGTACACATATGTATAATTGAACACACAACTCAGGAAGGCACAGCTTTCACTTCACTTCCTGGGAAGTCATATGTGGCTCCCAGCCTGGATGAACTGACACTCTGCCTTAGGTTCTCAGTGGAAGGAAAGGATCTTTCTGTCCCACAGGAGGTACCCCAGCTCCGACAAGACCATGCTGCAGAAGTGGCAGGTACAGTGACCCCTCAGAACACTGTGGGTTCAAGGAAACCCTCAGGAAAGCAACTCAGCAATAGCTCAGGCCCCAGGGATGAAGAGAGAAGGCATACTGGTGAATCAGGAGGGATCTTGTTTTATTAATTTGTTAAAATGTCTCAAGCATTTCCCTGAAGAGATCTCAGTGACGAAAGGCGATTCTTGAGTCAGAGCTGGGGAGTTAGTATGAGCGTGTGTGTGCACATACATAAGCTCTATGTGCACACATGTGCTCCATCCATGAAGGTGTACACATATGTATAATTGAACACACAACTCAGGAAGGCACAGCTTTCACTTCACTTCCTGGGAAGTCATATGTGGCTCCCAGCCTGGATGAACTGACACTCTGCCTTAGGTTCTCAGTGGAAGGAAAGGATCCCAAGAAAGACAGCCATACAGAGCCCATGGCAACAGGAAAGTAAACCTTGGTCACTCATGTCCAAAATCCTTTCCCAAGGAGCAGGCCAAGGAAAGGAGAGACCACAGCATGCAGGTCCCATCAGAGGTGATGTCTCTACTGGCTGCTCATGAGCCAGGTGGCCTTGGTGAATTTTTCCCAAATATAGTCCCTGGCTCCATTCATGACTATACATCTGGGAACAGAGGGCCCTAAGAACACAGAGTATCCTAACTGGCAGAGTCAGAAGAAAGAAAGTTCAAGTTCCCAAGAAAGCAGATCATTGAGCCTGTTGGTGAGGACCTCTTTCCTGGTGACTGCAAAGAACCCCCCCAGCTTATATTTTCAATCATAAAGCAGTCAGCAGTAAGAAGGTCTGATATTTGTGCTATTATTTTAATCAATTTTTGAGTATCACCCAACAGTTAACACAAAAGAATGCTTTAGCCTCGGCTTGGACCTCTGAGCAGTGTTTTTTTCCTAGTAAACTTTGCTTCCTGACTATATTTGCTTCAACTCATCTTGGAATTAGTGTGGCCTCCCCGAGTTGCCTGGGCTCCAGGCACAAGGTTCCCACCTACACAGCCAGGGCCTCCTGCACAGGTCTGGGAGTTAGTCCCCTGTGGTTCTCAGGAGGAAACCTGTTGGGTTTATCCCCACTTTGTCTCTTCTGGCAGAAAAGAGACATCAGCAACTTCGAGTATCTCATGTACCTCAACACCCTGGCTGGGAGGACCTACAATGACTACATGCAGTATCCAGTGTTCCCCTGGGTCCTGGCCGACTACACCTCACAGGTACGTGTTCACGTGGTTGGTATGCAGGTGTCCTGTGACTTTTTTGACCCTGATGACCAGAGCACCTGCAGTCATGCAGAGCCTCTGCGATGGGCTCAGTAGTCCACCTGGGCCTGAGGGCTGCTCCAGGCTTGGCCCCTCACCTGGCCTTTGGAGTCTGGGTGCCTGTCCCAGCCCCACATGACTAGGACAGTAGCTGACATGTGCCCCAGAGGGTTTCCTGGCTCACTGCTACCATGAAGGCAAGAGATACCCATCTGCTGAGATACTGCCATGGGCTAACATGGGTCCGTCAAGTGAAGAGGGCCATAAGATGTGTTCCTAGAACCAACATGTAGAGAGGGAGAGGGAGGGAGCGGGAGAGAGAGAAAGGAGAGGGAGAGAGAGAGAAGGAGAGAGCAAGAGACACAGAGACACAGTGAGAACAGACTCCTCCCCTGTAACCTGACTTCAGTAACTGAGATGATGATATGTGGAGGTGATGATATCACTCTGGATCTGGACCGAGACATGTAGCCCTAATGGAGGCTGATGGTAAGACTGAGTCATCGCTCTTTTGCCCTCTGTCCCTGGACCTCAGCAGGCAGAGGAGGGAGGCGCAGAAAAGTGACAAGTTTGGCCAAGGTGATGTCACTGGGGGACAACCAGGCTACAGAGCAGTGTCCTGATTGCCTGGGCTCTGGCCACCAGGAGACTTGTGGGGCTGTGTATGTAAATGACCGGAGGTGTCTGGGTGCACTACAGATGAGCCCTGGCCAGTGCTGCCTCAAGCTGTTTAGAGAGCTCACCCCCAGAATTTGAGAAAGGGGCCTCAGTCTTTTGTGAGCTCCCTTCCCAATTTGAGACACAACACAGCAAACCTTTTCTCACAAGCCATACATTGCTTCTCACTGCTCGATCATCTGGGGCCAAGGTGTTTCAGAAAGGAAACTTGCCAATCCTAGCTTCAACTCACATATTACAAATGGGTGGGTCCCCAACCCATTTTGATTAGCCCATATTCTGTATTAAAATTTAATTTCTTATCGGGTGTTTAAAAATTGGGAGATTTCTTCTAAAAAGCTTGTATTCCAATATCTTTTGGAGAATTTGGAGATGTGGCTACAGCATCAGCTATAGCTGAGCGGGTTTCCATGCTGCTGTCTCTCAAGGGGTCTCAGGAGCTTCACTCTTGCTCCCTTTTCTCATCGATGGGCTCAGTAGTCCACCTGGGCCTGAGGGCTGCTCCAGGCTTGGCCCCTCACCTGGCCTTTGGAGTCTGGGTGCCTGTCCCAGCCCCACATGACTAGGACAGTAGCTGACATGTGCCCCAGAGGGTTTCCTGGCTCACTGCTACCATGAAGGCAAGAGATACCCATCTGCTGAGATACTGCCATGGGCTAACATGGGTCCGTCAAGTGAAGAGGGCCATAAGATGTGTTCCTAGAACCAACATGTAGAGAGGGAGAGGGAGGGAGCGGGAGAGAGAGAAAGGAGAGGGAGAGAGAGAGAAGGAGAGAGCAAGAGACACAGAGACACAGTGAGAACAGACTCCTCCCCTGTAACCTGACTTCAGTAACTGAGATGATGATATGTGGAGGTGATGATATCACTCTGGATCTGGACCGAGACATGTAGCCCTAATGGAGGCTGATGGTAAGACTGAGTCATCGCTCTTTTGCCCTCTGTCCCTGGACCTCAGCAGGCAGAGGAGGGAGGCGCAGAAAAGTGACAAGTTTGGCCAAGGTGATGTCACTGGGGGACAACCAGGCTACAGAGCAGTGTCCTGATTGCCTGGGCTCTGGCCACCAGGAGACTTGTGGGGCTGTGTATGTAAATGACCGGAGGTGTCTGGGTGCACTACAGATGAGCCCTGGCCAGTGCTGCCTCAAGCTGTTTAGAGAGCTCACCCCCAGAATTTGAGAAAGGGGCCTCAGTCTTTTGTGAGCTCCCTTCCCAATTTGAGACACAACACAGCAAACCTTTTCTCACAAGCCATACATTGCTTCTCACTGCTCGATCATCTGGGGCCAAGGTGTTTCAGAAAGGAAACTTGCCAATCCTAGCTTCAACTCACATATTACAAATGGGTGGGTCCCCAACCCATTTTGATTAGCCCATATTCTGTATTAAAATTTAATTTCTTATCGGGTGTTTAAAAATTGGGAGATTTCTTCTAAAAAGCTTGTATTCCAATATCTTTTGGAGAATTTGGAGATGTGGCTACAGCATCAGCTATAGCTGAGCGGGTTTCCATGCTGCTGTCTCTCAAGGGGTCTCAGGAGCTTCACTCTTGCTCCCTTTTCTCATCAGCCATGGTGGCAGGCCCTGCCTCCTCAGGAAAACTGATGATTCACTACAGGTGGAAAGGAAGAGGCGTGTAAAGAAACACCTCCTTCTATAAAGACATGCAAACTCAGAGGACACCCAGCCCTGAAAACTCTTCATGGTGCTACTGTTGTGTATTCCAAGGGCAGGGGAAGGGGTGCCAGGACTGCTTTCACCACCCCAGAAGGGAGGTGCCTCCCAAAACACGAGGCCGTTGCTCTCATTTCCTCCCCAAACAGACGACTTCTGACTGCCTACAAAATCAGTTTGAGTCTAAGCAAGAACCCTGAACCGCAAACTGCTCAGCGAGGGCAGAAGCCAAGTATCCATTGACAACAGGAATTCTTTTGAAAGTCTCTTGGGTAACTGGTGGCGATGTTCTGATTTGGGTCAACTTGGAAGAGTTCAGTGTGAAATCAATCTTCCCCTCCTCTCATTTCCCATCTCTCACCTATTAAGTCTTTGTGGATCACTGGCTGTGGGGCCATAAAACCCTACCAGGCCTGCTAATCACCAGAGGAGGGGGGTCAGAGAGAACGACAATAAACCAATAAAGAGAACCATAAAACTAAAGACCGTGGCTCCTGCAGTCTCACAGGGGCACAAGAGGGTCCAGGGGAGTTAACGCCAGTTGCACATTTACCTTCTAGACATTGAACCTGATGAATCCCAAGACTTTCCGTGATCTTTCTAAGCCCATGGGAGCTCAGACCAAGGAAAGGAAGCTGAAATTCATCCAGAGGTTTAAAGAGGTTGAGAAGACTGAAGGTGAGTAGATCCCAGCTTGATTTTTTTCTACAATGCTCTTTATCTGAATGCCTTGAAGTGAGAGTTGATAATGATTTAGGTGTCATCTAGCCTACAGACAATTACATTAGGATAGAGAACTCCCAAATCCAGCAGTCTGCACCCTCGTTGCCTGTGAGAATCACTCGAGAAACTCGTTAAAAATGTTAATGTCTGGGTCCCACCCCTGGAAATCATGATTTAAATAAGTCTGTGATGGGGTACACTCCAAGTGATTCCAACAGGAAATCAGGACTGAGAACTGTGCTGCCAAAGTGCTTAAACACCTCCATTCCCAGGGGCAGGGAAATGACATCCGTTCAGCCCTTTCTGTGTGCAGACCAGCCTGCATTCATACATACAACGGTCCATTTTAAAGAGAAGGAAATTGGAACTCAGACTTCAAGCAATTCACTCAAGGTCGTAGCCTCTAAATTACAGAGCCTGCATTCATCTGGTTCTAGAACCTAGTTCCCAAATCCTGTTCATTCCCACATTCCCTTTACAATTTTACTACCTTCACAGGCCAGCTGCACTCTTAGCGCCTTACTGTTTTTCTTTAGATCTGTTCACCTTTTAAACTTCAATGGATGTATTTTAAAGAGAAAATTTTCTGTCATATATTTGATGCCAGCTATACTGGTTTTCTCAAACATTTTGAAAAACATGAAACTACTAAAATAAGGAACATCTATCCGTGAGCCATAAATGATTACCTCATGTGCCGGAGGCAGCCCGTTTTAGAAAGCTCACTCAGCCCCGAAGCCCTGCCTTTGGTGAGCAGGTTCTCAGCAGGCTAAGGTTCTGCATCCCACACTGCCCTGAAGGCCCCTGCCCACCCCCCAGGACCCCCGCGATGTGCAGGACTGATACTCAAGCTTGCTGGGGGAGATGGGAGGGGTGGGCAGGCCACAGGTGGGGATGCAACCCAGCCATGTGCTTTCATTGCAGGAGACATGACCGTCCAGTGCCACTACTGCACTCACTATTCCTCAGCCATCATTGTCGCCTCCTATCTGGTCCGGATGCCACCCTTCACCCAGGCCTTCTGCTCTCTGCAGGTGAGCGCCCTGCTCCCCTACACACACACAGAGCTAGCTCTTGCAGACTAAGAGCTAGGCTTGGATGAGGCAGGGACCCCCCTGTTAGAAATCCAGCCTTGAGCCCATGATTCTCACTTGCCACTGGTTCCAGGACTCTGGACCATCCAGCTGAGGCAAGCTACTCTTCACAGACACACCACCATGTCTACCCAACAGTCTCACCAAAAAAACTGAAAAATAAGGAATGAGATATGGGGGGAACATACTCAACATAAATAGGTTTTAGTGGGAAAGGAGAAACAGGAAGCTTGAAGACTTCCTTGCAGGTAAGGTAGGTAGCAAAGGCTAGAAAAATAAACACAAAGAAGGAAGAATAAAAAGAATATCACTTGTGATGTCAGAATGCATAAAATATGCTAAGTACAAGTTGAAGGCTTAAAAGGGCAAACAAATTATCTTTAATACTGAAATGAACAGCTAAACTGGAGAAGGAAACTCACCAATTTGCCTACCCATAAGTTAACAGAACATCATGCCAGCTTAGGGTTGCCAGATTTCACAAATACAAATACAAGATGCCCAGGTAAATTTGAATTTCAGATAAACAATGGTTTATACTAAAAAATTATTGGCTGTTTATCTGAGATTTAAATTTAGCTGGACATCCTATATTTTACCTGGCAGTCCAATACAGGCTGGAAGCAGGCCAGTCTGACCTTGAGTGAATGCTAGTGTTAAGACACATGGAACAGCTGGAACAAAGTGCCTCATGGGAGGCTGGTATGTTTTTCTCTCTCTTTCCCTCTAACTCTACCACCAGGATCTTGAATTAAGGTTATCCAGGGGCACAAGGGTTGACTGGGGAGAGCCTTGGGTATCCCAGTTGCAGGTAGCTGGCTCAGCCAATTCCAAAGAGAACACAGTACAGCATCCAAGCTTAGGGTCTCTCTTGATCGAGGCCTTTTAAGGGTCCTGCACAGAGGAAGACATGGCCATGGAGGGTAACAGGCTGCTGAATTTTCAGGGACTCACTCTGACAGCCAAGCTTCACCAAAGGAAAAGCATGAGCGTCCCAGGAATTGTGTAGTCTGACTTCACCAGCAAGTTCACTCCTTAAAGTTACTCAGATGACCTTGACCCCAAGACAATAGGCCACTCTGGGTCAGCCCAAAAGCCGTCATCTGGGCCCTGGGTAGGAACAAACAGGCAAGGTCAAGGCTCTCTCCCCAGCCAGCAGCAGACCTCTCCTGTCTTCTGTTTCTTGGCACAGGCTTCTCTCTCCTTGAAGGCATGGATTGTCTAGACATTATATAACCCACCTCCCTGGAAATTAACTCAAAAATAACAAGTGTGCTTCCCCTGAGCCTTTCTCAGGCAACAGCATTTTAAGTAAGTTTGGTTTGGAGAACAAACGGCCCCTGAGCTATTCCCCATGCCAGGAATCCCATCCAGTAAGACACATGAAACAGCTGGAACAAAGTGCCTCATGGGAGGCTGGTATGTTTTTCTCTCTCTTTCCCTCTAACTCTACCACCAGGATCTTGAATTAAGGTTATCCAGGGGCACAAGGGTTGACTGGGGAGAGCCTTGGGTATCCCAGTTGCAGGTAGCTGGCTCAGCCAATTCCAAAGAGAACACAGTACAGCATCCAAGCTTAGGGTCTCTCTTGATCGAGGCCTTTTAAGGGTCCTGCACAGAGGAAGACATGGCCATGGAGGGTAACAGGCTGCTGAATTTTCAGGGACTCACTCTGACAGCCAAGCTTCACCAAAGGAAAAGCATGAGCGTCCCAGGAATTGTGTAGTCTGACTTCACCAGCAAGTTCACTCCTTAAAGTTACTCAGATGACCTTGACCCCAAGACAATAGGCCACTCTGGGTCAGCCCAAAAGCCGTCATCTGGGCCCTGGGTAGGAACAAACAGGCAAGGTCAAGGCTCTCTCCCCAGCCAGCAGCAGACCTCTCCTGTCTTCTGTTTCTTGGCACAGGCTTCTCTCTCCTTGAAGGCATGGATTGTCTAGACATTATATAACCCACCTCCCTGGAAATTAACTCAAAAATAACAAGTGTGCTTCCCCTGAGCCTTTCTCAGGCAACAGCATTTTAAGTAAGTTTGGTTTGGAGAACAAACGGCCCCTGAGCTATTCCCCATGCCAGGAATCCCATCCAGATGTTCATCATCAATCCACGTGGAGTGATGAGCCCGCTGACCGTGATGGCCCTGCCTCCCATGACGATTTTCCACCCAGGGAGCTCTAGGTGCTTCAGAAGTTTCCCCTCACCCCTTCAGTCTCACCAAGTACAGCCCCATCTCTACCTGTTACAAAGGGTCATCTCACAGTGAGACGAGGCAAACTGAAATAGAAACATCGAGCTGTGAGATTTACATCCCACAGTTATTTTATTTTACTTCTGCATGTTATTTTACTCTGTAAATGAGAGTTATTTATGCACATCTCACTGAGCCACTGAGACTAAAGGAGGAAATGTGGGTAAAGCCCCTAGCTCAGGGCTGATGCCATGAAGGGGATCAATCATCCTTGCTCCTATCTCCCTCCCACCGTCACCCAGATCTCATCTGAGCCAGCCTGAAATGGTGTAAGTTGCCCCTCTCTGGTTTAAGCTAATTCAAGACAGCCTGGACTGTGTCAAAGTATTCCAAATGGTGTAAGCCAGATGAAACAGGTGTGCTGCCAACCTATTGGGTTAAAGCCATTTTGAAGCTAGTCACACGGGTCTGAGCTTATTCTAGCCAGTTTGGTCCAATGGCAACCAGCCCAAACTGGTTTGAGATGGTCTAAACCAGTGTGAGATGGTCAAAGGCAATTTCATTTGTTTTCACATGGCACCAATGCAGTCATATTAGCTTGAGTTCTTTTGACTCCGGTGCTGACGTCTGATGTGACTCCTGGTTTTTCTGGGTTCAACTCTCTCTGGGACACATTGGCTCATCCAAGTTGAAATCTCCATGATGCTTCTGAATTGTTTTCTCCTTCTGACTTTGAACTGCCTCTTCTAGTAGGTCACAACCAGTCCAAGCCTTGGAACCAGCCAAAGAACCAACCAACTCTGCTTTTCCCTTATCATAAAAAAGAAACTGTAATCTCTAGGGAATGAATACAACAGCTACATCTGAGGGGAATGTGTGTGGCTCCCATCTGGGAGTCCTAGGGCCTGTGCAGACTTCTTTAGGAACTATCTGGTATCTTCCTGGAGTCAGGCTTCTCCCTCCATTCCACTCTGCCTCCTGGAGGCAGACTTGTTTCTTCTCAAAAGACTTTTGCTCCACCTGTGTGGTGACAAGGAAAGGAGCCTCCCTACATTCTCAGCAGCCCAAGACTTCTAGCCCCCATCCCCAGCATGGATGTCAGAGTGGAAAAGTGGAAGAAAGGCGGAGAGGTGCAGAATCCAGGCAACGAAGCCTTTCTCACTCATCTGGAGAGCAGGGACATGAGTATGTCCAGTATCTCCAGAGCAGGAGCACATGCAAGAGTCAGCAGAAGAAAGTGCACACTCTTGTTCTGGATGAAACAAAGTCTGCCTCTGAGCTATTATGTGACTGAGCCACAGAGATGCACTCGATCCATGGCTGGGCCAGAATGGCTTTGGTGTGGAGACGGGGTGCCTATGCACTCCCCCTGTGGTCTGATGGAAAACAGGTACAGCATTCTTTGGGCTGTAGCCTGTCCACTGGGCACCGTGCAGAGGGGTGTGGACAGCTTAAGAATGGCAGTGTGGCATATTCTGATTCCTAAAAATAAGGTTTTCTTTATTCTTTTCACATTTAAATCTTATTAAGTCTTATTAAACTTTATTAGGCTGGTCTTAGAATTGATGTCTACCTCTACTGTTGCTGTGTTTGCTTTTCTGCCTCAAACCTGTTATTACAATGATCAGTTCAGTTCAGTTCAGTCTAGTGTCTTTTAACTTCATGGCTGCAGTCACCATCTGCAGTGATTTTGGAGTCCCCAAAAATAAAGTCAGCCACTGTTTCCACTGTTTCCCCAACGATAACCTCTTATAATCCAGAAAATACAGTACATGAACAGTGTGACCTGGGTAGGTGCACATGCAAGCCATGTGACTCAGGCTTCCGCTGGTGATGTGCTTATCCCCACCCCCTGGGGTGTGAGACTGCTGTCTACCGAGCTTGCTTCCCTGGATGCTGTGATCTTGGGAATCTTGCCTGCAGGGAGCCAGTGTCTGTGAGCCTTCAGACAGTTGAGCATCCAGGAGGCCACATCAGGCTGGGGCCACAGCACAGGCCCCCATTTCCACCCTGGCAAGAGTACCGGCTGCTCTCAGGCCTGAGCTGGGATCCAGTCTGGGCGGGGCAGAGCAAGGCAGCCAGCACCCCAGCAAGGGCACAGTGCCACCTCCGCTGCCACTGCTGCATTTAATAAGAAACTGAAATCAAGTGCTGTGTTAATTAAGTCACAGCCCATGTGAAGTCAGCTGTTACCAGCAATGGGGAAGAATTTTCTGAACCACCTGAGGCGAGGCGACTGCTTTTGTGTAAGACATATGCCAACTGCAGAGAGAACTGAGGGCTCTGGGCAGCAGTGGACACAGGCCTTTCACCTGGGGCTCTGTGAATGCCAGGCCCTCGTGGAGTTGTGTCCATAATAAAGGTGTAATTGTTATTACCCTTGAAATGCCTATCCAGGGACAGAGGTGCACATAGATTCTGTGTCCTCATACAAAAGGAATAGCTCCTTCAATACAAAAACTCCTTTCAAGGTGTTTGCAGTTTTAACCAATGCACTGTAATCATGAACTTTACTCTGATTTTAACTCCTGTCAAATATTCAGCAACAGTGCAAAGTGGAACTTGTCAGTCATTTCTTCCTGCATTCAATTCAGTTCAATTCAGTTGCTCAGTCATGTCTGACTCTTCACGACCCCATGAACTGCAGCACGCCAGGCCTCCCTATCCATCACCAACTCCCGGAATCCACCCAAACCCAAGTCCATTGAGTTGGTGATGCCATCCAACCATCTCATCCTCTGTCATCCCCTTCTCCTCCTGTCCTCAATCTTTCCCAGCATCAGGGTCTTTTCCAATAAATCAGCTCTTCGCATCAGCTGGCCAAAGCACTGGAGTTTCAGCTTCAACATCAGTCCTTCCAATGAACACCCAGCACTGATCTCCTTTGATTCATCTCTTAGTAAAATTGAGCACCTCTTAAAGTATTTTAATTGAGACAGATACTTAGGATTGTATTATTTCTGACCCCTTCAATATTGGAAATATTCTTCTGGTGTCTTTACATATGAGTGATGTTGGCTGGGCATAGACTGTAAGCTTTTGCCTCAGAAACCTACGGACTTAGTTGCCTTGTCTTTTGGCTTTAATGTCATCTAGGAAATCTTCTGCCAATAAGAGGTAGCTCCTCTGTTGATAAGAGTAACCTTGCTATTACTTTTTTTTGGTCTGTTTGGATACTCGGAGGATTCATTAATCTTAATATTCAGAAATATCTGCAGGATAGATTTAGGAACATGTCTGGGCCCAGAAATTCTCTCTGACCATCCTGTTTCCATCCAATCTCTGGACCCAATTTGATTGTTGCTTGATTTTTTTTTGGACTTTCCTTATGGGGACTCTCTGTAAACCTTGACTGTGCTTCTCTGCCTTATTTCTCTCCTTTCCTCCTTCTGACTTCTCTTCCTTATCTCCTTCCTTCCCTTCCTGAGACTGAAGTCCTGATGGGACTCCTTGATGGCAGCCACCAGAGTCTGTGTCAACCCACAGACTTTGTAACTAATATGAGTTACAAAGCAGCTCCACTTTTCCTTCCAGGGAATTCGGCATTTCTTTTGTATTGCAAAAGTGAGCAAACCCATTAATTTTGAAACAAATGTATGCAAATACATTTATTAATATAGGAAATAGGAAAATCAGTTATTGCTTCCTTTATAAATAATACAGGCTTAAGTTTTAAAGATATTACTTTTGCTAAAATGCATTAGACAGCTGTGAAAAAAATAACATTTTTCTTTGTGGTAATATCTTTAACCAGATTTGTAGCACTAACAATATTTCCCATGTATATATTATTTTTATTTAATACAGGTAATCTTTTTATTACCAAATCATATTGTTTCTCAGGAGATTACCATCAGCACTCATAAAATCTGCAAAAGGAAAGCGGAACGACGAGGCAGCATCCATCTCCCTCCGATGCAAGGCTTGGGCTGCAGATTAAATACACAAAGCTCTTAATACATTTCAATGAGTCACTGGTTAGGGGCAGATTTATTTAGAAACACCCCCTCCACCATTTTGTTTCCATTTTCGTTTGAATCTGAGAGTGGGCTTCGTCTCCTAATTTTGCCGTTGTTTAGTCACTAAACAACCTGTCCGACTCTTTTGTGACCCCATGGACTGCAGCCCACCAGGCTCCTCTGATCATGGAATTTCCTAGGCAAGAATACTGAAGTGGCTTGCCATTTCCTTGTCCAAGGAATCTTCCCGACCCAGGGATTGAACCTGCATCTCCTGCATTGGCAGGCGGGTTCTTTACCAATGAGCCACCTGGGAAGCCCTTGCCTAATTGCTTAAAACCAAGAACAAAACAATCTTGGAGAAAAGCCACATCTTTCAGCTGCCCAAATACTGTGTTTGGCTGAAACCCCACTGGGTTTCTTGGTGTCCCTGACCCTGTGCAGAGAATGCTAGCATTTTCTTTACACTTCGTCTGCCACTGATGATGGGAAACCTCAGTCCCTGAGGAGAGAAGGGAGCTGATGGAGCAGAGGAGGGCACTGGCAATTTGAGTTCTATCCCTTTGTTCTTTGGGCCACATGTGCCCTCTGCAGAGGTTGGCAAAAGAAAGACTAGTTCTGGCAGAACAAAAAAGGCCCAGTTACAATGGGGACAAGTGAATTACTGAAGCCCAGAGAGGAGTTGTCCCTTGGGCATCCCTAAACTTAAGCCAACAGACCCAAATCCCAGCTTCAGAAACTCTCTTTTGAAGCCCCTCTGCCCACAGCGTCTTCAGTCGTCCAACTGGGACCTCTCTGTCTCCTCCCGACCCCCAAGATCACATGCTGAATAAGGGTAGTGTCAACTGAAGCGACATGACAATTCAAGTGAGAGGCACAGAGACTCCAAGGAAGGAATTTGAGCTTGGTTTAGCTGCCGATCTCAGTACTGCATGGACCCATCTGTGGCAATGGGCCTTGGAAACAAGGTTGACCCTCATGCAGCACCATATGTTTCCAGCACTCCATCCTCAGATCGGTCCCCTCTTGTCAAGGCTGCTGTGTTACATGTCACCAGGGCCCTACCTGACCTGCTTTCCAGGCCTTGCCCTCAGCTCAGAACATCACTGTTTTCTCCATCACCAGGCTTGCTGTCTTACCAGGGGTTGACTTCTCCAGGAAACTTTCCTGCACATAGACTGTCTGACCCACTCCTTGTACTTTGACTCAGGGCTAACCCTCAGTGAGTGTGTCAAGTGGTCAGACGAATGGCTGTGGTTTTCCTGTCTCTGATCTGAACCCCGATTTCTAAACTAGGGAAACGTTGCTCCCTTAATCACAGTAGACCATGCATCCTCCGTGGAAGCTCTGGTGCAGGGTTCCAGTGAATGGTCAAGGTGATTAGATGCTTGAAGAAACAATTGCCCATGTGTGTGGCCTGATGTGTGCACATGTGTGGGGGAGTGAATGAAAGGGCCTAAAGGTGGAACCCATGTCTGGGGGACAGAGTGGATGAAGAGGGCCCACTCTAGTGACGTCTGTGCACCTCAGGTTATCACCACACAGTTGATCATGTCACCCCTTTTCTGCTTAGGGCGGAAGCTTCGATGTGGCAGATAGAATGTTCCACAGTGTGAAGAACGCATGGGAATCGGCCTCCAAAGAGAACATGAGTGATGTCAGAGAGCTGACCCCGGAGTTCTTCTACCTGCCTGAGTTCCTGACCAACTGCAATGCCCTGGAGTTTGGTGAGTGGAGCAGGGCTCCGGGGCCGGACAGCTTGTGGGTTATGACATCAGTATCTTTGCTAAGCGACCCCACACACAGGCCCACGCCAGACCAGTCTGGTGGGCAGATTAGAGCGAGGCCTCCACTGGGTGTTGTCACTTGATGAAGAGGTAGGAGCCAAGGAAGTACCTAGCCCCAGGGTGCAGACCACCAACCACAGTTCTACCCAGGACTGCCCACCAAGAGTCCCCAAGGCCCCAGTCTGCAGCAAGATGGCAGCTAGAGAGCAGGAGCCCCTGCTGACAGCCAGGCCTGGCACTGCCCTGCTGAATGCCTCAGGCAAGCCCGGCCCTTCTCTGCCCCATTTTCCTGCAAGTCCCACAAGTGGGTTAACCTGTGAGCAGGACCCAGACGTGCTGCATCTCCCACGGGCACCTTGGTAGCTCCTTCTCTTTCCTACCCTCCAGACCCCACAGCAGGGTGAGCAATGCTTTCTCACCCACTGCTTTAGAGGAGAGACACAAATTTCAGGAAGCCCCAGTGGGCAGGCCCTAGCAACTGCACGTACTTTGGGAGCCTCCACTATGAACCTCAGGGTGACTTGTGGAGGGGATGTGGTCAGAACCCCCTGAAGGGCATGGCCCTCCCCACCCATAGGTGAGGGGTGAATCACCCACTCTGAGGAGGCCCTTGTGAGCCAGCGCGGTGCACAGGTGTGCTCCAGAGCCCCTGTTCCTCAGGGCCCTCCTTCCTCTAAACCACGCAGATGGGCCTGCCCCTCAAGCCAGACCAGGGGCAGGCTCAGGAGAGCTGCCTCCGGCACTCACCTCCTGTGCGCTGGTCTGCAGACGGAACACCAGCGGGGCATTTCAAGCATCCCCAGGCCCAGCCCATCGACTCTGAGCTCGTGGAACTTGGTGGCCTTGGCAATGTTCACATTCTCAGATGCTTCACTTGTTTTAGATGAGAACTTGACAACTATAAAGGGTAGTTCCCGCAAGTTGTGATGAAACCATGAAAGGAGCGAGTCTGAACCAATGAAGCCAAGAGGAGGGTCCCAACTGGCCTGGGTTGAAGGGGGCACAGTGGGGAGGGCACCAGTTCTCCTTGGCGGTGGAGGCTGGTTCTCTGCTGGAGGGGAGTGCTCAGCGGCAGATAGAGCCTTCAGGCCCAGGACCAGGGATCCTCAGGGAGGTCAGGAAAACAAGTGTGGCTATTATGCACCTACTGTATGCAGGCCCTTTTTAAGGCACTGAGGATTCAGTTGGGTGTCCTGGGGCGGGTCACCTGGAAGGTGTTAATATTGTTTGCGGGGATGGGGGAGGGATAGAAAAGAATAGATAAATAAGTGAAACACTGTTCAATGCTGAGGAAGTCCTGTAAGGAAAGAATGCAGGAAAATGGTTCGAGGTGCCTCAGCGGCCGTGTGTGACTGGGGTCTCCAGGAAGGACCCGCCTGAGGAGGTGACAGGTGTGAGCTGAGACTGAATGAGGAGAAAGGCCAAGCCAGCCCTGCAGGCCAGAGAGAGGGGAAAAGGATGCTTTCACCCCAGTTGCACTTGTGGGCCCTGGAGGGTTTCAGAAAGGCTATAGCTAGTATTTACTGAGCAGCCATCATCCGCCTGGAACTATTCTAAGCATGTTATGTGTATTTTCTCTTCTGATCCTTATGCCAGCTTAGGAGGTAATAGGTAGGAAAGTAACTCCCCAAGAGGCTAAGCAACTTGCTCAAGGTTGTGTGACTAATGAGGAGGACGGAGACTCGGGCTTGAATCCAGGCTCTTCTTCTTGGTGTCTGGGGAAGCTCCCTCTGAAAACCTTCTGCCTTCACTCTAAAAGTGGAGAGAAAATGCGTAAATTATCGAGTTGAATGAAGGGTCAATAAGATGATGTGTGCCAAGCACCTAGCACAGTGCCCTGGCATAGAGTGAGATGCTCGAAATACAATCGCTTTTACTGTTACTGTTATTATCTTATTGTTTTAGCACTGTATAAAAAAGCACCTCCATGAAAAGGCATAGAGTGAGGGGAGGGAAATGATGACACAGCCATTTTATGCACGGGCACTGCTTGGAAGCGAGGAGGGTCTTATGGAGGCCCAAGGCTTAGAATCCAAGAAGGAGTATTTCAGATGGATAGGGTGGGGTCACTTCCAACAGAGGAGACAGGAAGCAGTGCAGTCTATGCAGGAATCCCAGTACCGGTTAGCACAGTGTTTACACACCCCTGACTCCTAACCACTTTGGCTTCCCATTTACCCAAAGGCCTGCTGTCTCTCACCCTATTCAGGCTGCATGCAGGACGGAACAACACTGGGGGATGTTCAACTCCCTCCCTGGGCTGATGGAGACCCCCGGAAATTCATCAGCCTGCACAGACAAGTGAGTTGAGTGGGGTCATGGCAGAGTCCCTGGTATCCTGAATGAGGACCTCGGTATGCCCTCAATGTCCACAGAGGCTTTCTGTCTGAGTGGAGGGCTGTGATAAATACTTCTGCATATGTCTAGAGAACTCAGAGAAGGGACTGGGCCCCATGCCCTGGGTCGGCAAGAAAAAGCTTGGGTTCTGGGCTCTTTTAAGAGCTCCACTAGGCTTTGCCCTTGTGCCAGTTTGTTGTGGGACTCATGAGGGGAGCAAATTCAGGTTCTTGTTAGATGGAGGGCAAGTCAGTGCCCTTAGCCAACCCCATAGTCAAGGCCAAGCCCTGGGCTGTATTGCCCAGTATAAATCAGTGAGGGGCTGGAGGCCTCAAAGGGTTCCCACTGGCCAAAATATTTGCCAGGACCAGGGAGGACTTGGCTTATGACTCAGAAATACTGATGTGGGTACAGGCCACAGGTCATCTGGGAACAACATATGTTCAACATCATTAGTCATCAGGGAAACATACACGAAACCATGAGATGCTACTACGTAGTCACAACAACGGCTAAATTTTAAAATATTGCAAAATCCAAGAGTCAAGCAAAGATGTGGAGCAACAAGAATTCATCATGCATTGCTGGTGGGGAAAAATGGTACAACCACTTTGAACAAGAATTTCTTATAAAGTTGAAGATGCATTTACCATATCGCTCAGCAATTCCACTTGTATGTATTTACCCAAGAGAGATGGAAACACCACAGAAGAGTTTGTACATAAATATTCATCAGTGTTACTTATACTAGTCAAAAACAAAAAACAGCCCAGATACCTATAACCTTAAATGGCTAAGCAAATGATACACCCACATGATGAAATCTTACTTAGCAATAAAAAGGGACAGATAATGGATACATGAAGCAACATGAATGAATCTCAAAAGCATTGTCCTAAGCAAAAGAAGCCAAACACAAAGATATATACTATGGGATTCTATTTTTGTGAGATGTTAGAAAAGGTAAACTAAAGGGACAGAAAGCAGATCAGATCAGGAATTACTAAGTTCTGAAGTAAGAGATAAACAAGGAGAAGAAAACTTTTTGAGTTGATATGAATATTCTATATCTTGATTATAGTGTTGATTATGTCACTGAATGCAATTTTCAGGACACATTAAGTTGCACATTTATGGAAAATTTTATTATATGTAAATTATACGTAAAAAAGAAAAAAAACCTGGGGGCAAGCCTAACTAGTAACAAAGCTGTGTCTTCTCCTCTGTCCTTCTCCTTTGGTAAGGAGAGAGTTCTTTCCTGGTTAATCCTTGTCCCTGGAAATTCAGTAACAGCAGTCATCACACCTCCTATGGCATTACCCACGTGTGGTCTTCTTAAAAGCATTATGGTCATATGTATCAGAAAACTAACCAAGCCCAGATGACCTGACTTTCCCAAGTCAGCATCAACAGGGAGCCCAGCCAATTCCAAATGACTGTCTTTGGGTTCTGGAAACCAAGCTTTGGATTTGGGCTCTACTCAGCAGAAACGAATGGTGAACCAGAAATTGAAACACTGGCCCACATTTCCTCTTGCTTAAGGTTATTTTATGGACTGGATGGGCCACTAGCTTGAGGCAGGACTGCGTGGTCCTTAGAGGGACTGCACATCCTGCTTAGTGCTCATCCAGCCCAGGGAGGCATCGCTTATATTTCCTGTGCTGAGAGAGCATCCTGAACCACATGCCCCCTCCTGATCTGGGCAGAGAGCCCACGAGTCCATGAGACCCCTGTGTTTTTCATGCTCTTTGGGTTTTGGTTCCAGGCTTTGGAAAGTGATTTTGTCAGTGCCAACCTGCACCACTGGATAGACCTCATTTTTGGGTACAAGCAGCAGGGGTCAGCCGCAGTGGAGGCTGTTAATACCTTCCATCCCTACTTCTATGGTGACAAAATGGACCTCAGCAGCATCAGCGACCCCCTCATCAGAAGTACCATCCTGGGGTTCGTCAGCAACTTTGGACAGGTGCCCAAACAGGTACAACATACCATGATTTTTGTCTTACTTTCTCAAAAGATTGTGAGCAGGGTGAGCTTGGATGGAAGAGAGAGTGAGAAGTAGGTGAGGATTGGAGAGATAAAATGGCCTGCAGTCACCTCCCTATGCCTTTAATTGCTGTTGTCATATAGTCACTCAGTTGTGTCCAACTCCTTGCAAGCCCGTGGACTATAGCACGCCAGGCTTCCCTGTCCTCCACTATCTCCAGGAATTTGCTTAAGTTCGTGTCCATTGAGTCCATGATGCTATCTAACCATCTCATCCTCTGCCACCCTCTTCTGGGACTTTAGTATCAAGGTTTAACTCTCCATAACCCACTGATGTCAAGGGAGGTGATGATATCATTAACAATGATGAAGGCTGCATCCATCTGTGACCCATGTGATAGACACTATGATAAATACAAAGTATTTAATTCTTTACATAGGTTTGTTGTGAAGATTAACCAAGTGTGTGAAAATGTCTGAAATATGATTAACATTCAAAAAATGTTATTCATGTGATTCCCTCATTAAATCCTCTCTTAAGTTCTGAGTATGGGGATTATACAGATCAGGAAACTGAGGCTCAGAGAGGCTAAATAAATAACTTGCCTACACTTGCACCATTGCAGGTGTCACCTGTGAGACCTTACCCCATCTGGCCGGCTCCAAAATCTACACCATATTGGCCCCACTGTGAGAGCATCCAAGCTCTGCCCTTAGGGTCCCTGGGCCTTTTGCTCCACCAGCTCTATCTGCATCAGGGCAGTCCCATAGAGATGTGAGACTGTGCGTTCACAATGACACCTTGAGGCCTATTTAGCTGATCCCAGCCCCATTCATGGAGAAGGCAATGGCAACCCACTCCAGTGTCCTTGCCTGGAGAATCCCAGGGATGGGGGAGCCCGGTGGGCTGCCGTCTTTGAGGTCGCACAGAGTCAGACACTACTGAAGCGACTTAGCAGCAGCAGCAGCAGCAGCCCCATTCATCTTCAAGCTTCCATTTGGTGTAGAGATGTTTTTCCCCCAAGCACAATCATTTGGAGGGAGAAGCATGGCCCCACAGACTAAGCAGTCAGGAACCACACCAGAAAATGAATCCATAGGCCCAGCCAACTCGAGACCATCCTGGGCAACAAGCTTCCCCATCTGTAACCATGAGGCTTGGATGGGCTCATCTAATAACATCTCTTCAGTCTGGCCTTATTGTGACTTGTTCAGGTTCACTCAGCTCCTAGGTAAGGGGAATGTGGAAAGGCCTGAGGGTGACTTGGAGAATGGACCGTATATGCAATTGTGGGTTTGGCCAAGGAAGGCTTTGTAGAAACGAGAGAATTTCAGGAAAAAAAGCTAGAGTAGCTAAACAGTTTCATTTCTTTAATTTTAAAAATATTATACTAGAAATAAATAATTTGAAGTAGTAGTCCACAAGCAAAAATATGTTCATATCAGTAGGATCATGGAATGTACACTCTTTAAATTCTGATTTTAAGTAAGGAGCTATTATATTCCATAATGTCTTACGGAAAAACTCGAACAATCTTTTTGACCAACCCAATATGAGCTTCTAAAAAATATTTCTAAAATAATCATCAAAATAAGAGTTCCCCAGGTGGTCCCAGCTTGAAGACAAGATTAAATGCTTTGGAACCATTCACTGTTCCAGCAAGGGGCTATGCCTGAGAAAGCCGTTACAAGGGTCCAGCCTGTGGTGCTTTCGTTAGTCTAATGTGCATGAAGAACATTCTTTAATGCTCATTTAAAAGTCATCATTCTGATTTCTGTTTGTATTGATCACCCACTCAACTTTTCTAGATAGTCTAGCATCTGGTCAAGGGGTGTAACCAAGCCTCCTCTGAGGTCCCGGGGCTGCCTGCTGAGCTCCACCTCTGTCCTTGAGCGCAGCCAAGGCCAGTCCCACCCCCTGTCATGGCGCCCAGGGATATTTCCATCTGGAAGCAGAACACTGTGCTGCTGGCTAAAGAAACCAGCCTAGCACGAGCCCAGTCGGGGAGGGAGGGTGGAGAGCTGGAGCAGGCCTCAACTGTGTTCTCTAGCCCAGCATCAAGGATTCTGCCAGGCAGCCTGGCCTTGCACTTCAGACTGTATCCAATTATGCAAAAAGTTTGGCATTAAGGACAATTTGAGAGATCTAAGAAAAATGAAAATAAGAAAGGCCACTAATGGGGTTTGCCTGTGTTCTTTAGAATACTTGAATGGTTGCTATTAAAGAATTCTGTTTTGATGCCCAGATGGATGGGCCTGCAGAGAATTTATAAAGAAAAAGAGAAAATATGAGAAATAGCTCAAGCAAATGAAGAGAGACGTGATCTAGAGAGGAAAAAGGGTCATTCTGACCCTTTAGCATGAAAGGTAGCTCTCCCAGGGACCAGAGGCTCCTCAGGGGGCTCATCATTTGCTCAAGCAGCTTGGAGAAGAAGACAGATTTGGCTTCCAAGAGAGTTCTCCGCCAGCCCTGCACCATGGCCTTGAGAAAGTAGCTGCCCCTGACTGAGCCCCAGGCCACTCCCCTGAAACATCCAAAGGTTGAACCAGATGATTCTGTTTCAGCTCACCTCAGTCAGGAGCAAGCTCAGCCCCAGCAGCACCCAGGGCAGAGGTCCAGCTGGGACTTGCCCAAGGAAAACTCCCCTTCTGTCCATCTGTCCTAACAACCGACATGGTGCGTGTCTGTCTGCTTGCCTCTGCAGCTTTTTACTAAACCCCATCCATCCAGGACTGCTGCAGGGAAGCCTTCCCCTGGGAAGGACGTCTCCACACCTGCCAGCCTGCCTGGGCACCCACAGCCCTTTTTCTACAGCCTGCAGTCACTGAGGCCCTCCCAGGTCACAGTCAAAGGTGAGCACCTGGTCCTGCTTTGTGTGGTGTCCTGTCCCACAGTTGTCCCTCCAGTGACTGGTGTTCCTCTGGAGGTTCAGGGGTGCAGACTGGGGCAAAGGTTTGGGATCTGACTGCCCAACTGTGTTTCCAGTCACATCAGGAGTCTGGGGAGGCCTCTGCTCTGGAAGTGTCTGGGGCCACCTATGTTATACCCTGACTTCTGAAGACCCATCTGTCTGTTGAGACAAACACTCCTCTCTTTTTCATGTGCACACACATCTATCAATACACACACACACACACACACACACACACACACCCCTCCTCACCTCCAGAAAAGTGAAAGTAAGAAAGGCTGCTAAAGGGGTTTGCTCTTTGGAATACTCAAATGGCTGCTATTAAAGAATTCTGTGTTGATGCCTAGATGGATGGGCCTGCAGAGAATTTATAAAGAAAAAGGGAAACTATTAGAAGAAATAGCTCAATATTGCAGCCCCCTCTCGGGTCCAGGTCGCTGTTGCTCCTGACCACCCAGGTGGGCCTGCAGCCACTAGCTAAGGGCATGCACATGAGGCAGATGGCCCCAGTGCAGGTCCCAGCCCTGCTTCCTAGAGGGACTGGGTGTATATGAAGTCCACCCTGGGGCCTCAGTGCTTTGGGATCTCTACCTGGAACAGCTTTCTGGTCCCAAGGAGTATAAGGTCAGGTTTGTCAGGGTTTCTTCTCTTGAATCCAAGAACAGCATCCTTGGCACCTCCAGCCCTGCTAGACTTGATGCCTGGAAGGTGCAGGAAGGACAGAGCCCATGCCCCCTGGCTCCTCTGGCTTTGTGCCATCTGCCCTGACAGCCTCAGTTCCTCTTCCCTTGGTATCAACCCATAAGAGACACTAAAGACCTGCATGGCCACACACTTCATGTATGTGTTAAGTGTGGGGAGAGGCCCAGGGCCTGAGGACCCAGCTTGGGGCCAGAGTGTAACATAGCCCCTAGAGGGAGGCCCAGGAGGGAGGTACCAGGACAAGGAGTGGCTCCTGCCTGGGTGGGTGTTTGCCAAGTCCGGGTGGGCTGTGCATGGCTCATCTCTGGGCCCAGCTAAAGAGGTGTTCTTTGACAAATAAATTCCTCCCTACTGACTGGGGAGCAGATATGTACCTCTTCTCTCTAGGCTCGGAATCCCCCAAAGGAGCCATCGGCCACATCGTTCCTACGGAGAAGACCATCCTGGCCGTGGAGACAAACAAGATGCTGCTGCCTCCACACTGGAGCAGGACCTTCAGCTGGGGCTTTGATGACTTCAGCTGCTGCCTGGGCAACTACGGCTCTGACAAGGCGAGTGTTGCCGGGGTGCAGGGTGGCCCCAGGGCCTCAGCCTGCTACTGGTTGGGGCAGAGGTGGTCAGGAGACTGGCGAGCCCAAAGCAGCCACAGCTGCCCACACCCCCACTTCCTCCACGTGCCTGTGCCCCCAGCCTGGGGATGAGAGGATTTGAGCGACCGTGCCAAGAGCCTGGTGGGCTAAGCCTTCCCCCATGTTACCAGGAGTCGAGTTTGTAAATAGGCATGCTGTCACCTCTGCAGTGTTCTCCACTGCTGGCTGGTCACTTGGCTGCATTGAGAAGGCCCAGATTGTCATTCAGTTTGGGTGGAAAGTCTTAGGGGCTACTCTGGCCCCTGCTCTGACTTAGACTCAGATGGCACAAATTGAACATTCTACAGGCCACCAGAAGCAAGCCATTGGGTTATTGGTCCTCCACGCCTGTGCGAGGCCATCCACTCCTCTCTACCTTCTTGATGTGGCCTCTGGCTCTGTTTTCTAACCTTGCTCCTCTCCCACCCTAGCACATGGCATGAATTCCCTGCTCACCAAGCTTTCTCTCCCCTCCCTAGCCTTCCCCCACCTCCTGCAGGAGGCAGCCAGCGAAACTGGTCCCAGATGTCCCCACTTCATGAAAGTGGGCTCTGCCTTTCCCAAGCTCACAGGGCATTTCTGCTGTGTCCCCAAACCCTCCTGCTTACTTGCCTCTTCCCACCTGTTCCTTGGGTGTAGGTGCTCTCTGGAGACATACGTGGGCAGCCTGTCCCCAAGGCTTTCCTTGAACAAATGACCTGTCCCTCGGTTCCCATGGCACACAAGCAGGCCAGTGGAAGCAGGCAGATCTGCCTGCATGCCCCTGTCGCCCTGTTCCAGCTCCCTGCTCTTGTGGGCCCTGTCGCCAGTGTTCATCTCCCTTGCCTCCCCTCCCACAGATCTTGGTGACGTTCGAGAACCTGGCCGCCTGGGGCCGCTGTCTGTGTGCCGTGTGCCCGTCCCCCACGACCATCATCACCTCTGGGACCAGCGCTGTGGTGTGTGTTTGGGAGCTCAGCATGACCAAAGGCCGGGCCACAGGCCTGCGCCTCAAGCAGGTACAGAGCCTCCACGGGGGTGTTGGCTCAGGGCAGGTGGAGTCCCTCCGGCAGGCACAGTGCCTTTGCATGCTCCAGCTCCCAAGCGCTGAGAGCTCTGCCTCTCTCGGGAGCTGATAGCACAGTGGAGCATTGAGGGCACATGGGTCCCTGTCATTCAAGGGTGCGGTTTCATGTCTTTGGGTGGACTTGACAAGCACACAGGGCTGGTGCTTCCACGGACACCTGCATCTCAGTGAGAGACGCTGCTTACACATCAGGGCCGGTGAAATTGGGAGCTTTTTGCACTAGGAGACATTTTTTAGCATTTTTCACAGGCACTTTTATGTGAATAGCCTCATTTTACCTCTTCATTTTACCCTGTCATAGGAATCATTATCATCCCCACTTCACTGGGGAAAAATCAAATCAAAGAAGTTAAGTGCCTTGTCCAAGAGCATAGAGTCAGAAAATAAAAGACTGTCTCAGAATAGGGGTGATTGTGGCAGACACAGAAGGAAGAGACCAGGAGGCAGAAAACTTGTCTGGTCTTACCTCGCAAACCACAGCTGCTTGGAATAATAAACAGACTGAAACTGACTGCTTACCTAAGGTTCTGCATGTTAACTGTAATCTCGGAAAGCAGGTACTCTTAGTCCCACTTTCAGATGAGAAACATGAGGCTCAGAAAGGTCAGATTTGCATTTAAATCTAACTCTAAGCCTTGTGTTTTCCCCTGCATACACTTGAAGTTGCTGCAGAATATTTCTAGGAGACACTTCCATCTCCAAATGCAATTCATGTTTCCATCTCTGTTTTAGTGATCCATACAGCCCCAAAATGACAAAAAAAGAAAAAAAGTTAACCATACAAGGCTTGCCACTGACTAAATTTCCCAAACTGGACATGTTACACTCAAATTGATGCTGGGTTTCTCTGGATGCTTTCCTAGTCAATGGAGTCTCCCCAGAGCCTGCCCTTATTCCCTGGCACTACCCTCAGCACATGCCTGGTACACAGCAGTGGACATTCAACAAACGTGAGGTGAGGGTCAGGGCTGAGGGAGCTGGTTAGTCCTGCAGAGTCCGTGTTACCTACGAGAGGCAGCTGTGCAGGTCAAGTATGGGCTGCCTTTCCCCAGACTCTCCAGGGAAGTCCTCCCAAGCCCTGCTTAGAGCCCTCTGTCTTTCCGCATCTTCACTTTCCTGATCTGTGTGGAGAGACTGTGCAGCCATTATGGGTGTGGAGAATCCGCCTCTCCCAGGCATCGCTCCAGGGATGAGGGGATCCACCCCAATCCCAAAGACACCTTGGGGAGCCAGGGAAGTGACCCCCCCTCCATTTCCCTTCCTAGGTTCTGGTTAGTGGTGAAGATGCAGTGTAAAAACCCCAGTATCGACAGCATAAAATGTAATTTATCATCCTCTCCTAGCTATAAATCAAGACAAAAAGGTAGGGGAATCCTACATGCTCTTATTTCCTAAGTGAAATAAAGTACTTTATCATTTACCTAAAGAGGCTGACACAGCCTTGGGGGTTCCCCAGACTGAAAGCTGCTCAGAGAAAGGGGTCCCTCCCTGACTTATAGACTTGTAGACAGAGACGTCATCATTAAATAGCTTCATTAACAGTTTTTTCAAGTGTTTTATTTCTAAATATTACAACATGAAAGACATATTTCAAAGTCAGATGATTATCTATAATCCATATAAAAAATTTCATCCTTGTGTGCTCTGATCCCCAGATATACATATTTATATCCTTCTGATCATTGTGTAGATATATTGATTCCATTTTCACCCAGCCTATCAAATTGTTTCCTCTTTTCTACAGGTTCTATAATTTACTTTTCACTTGTTCCATATTATTCCATCTCCATAAAATTATATTTCAATTGTTTTATGTCAATGTACCACAGTTAAATAAACCATTTTTTCTAAAACTAGACAATTACATTGCTTCCACTTTTAACTATTTTAAATAGTGCTTCATAAGACATCTTAGATTGCTATTGGCTTCTGATTAATCATTTCCTTATAGCAAATTTCAAGAAGCCAAATTACAGAACAGTGACATAATGCTTTCTATAATGGCTCTGTGGTTTTACAGTGCCACCACAATCAGGAGTGCCCATTTCACCACGACATATCCAGAACAGGGAATTATTTTCAGAGGTTTGTATTTTTTTATTTTTTGCTCCTTTAGTTAGGTATAAGGTGATACAGTGGAGCTGTTTCAATTGGCCATGATGAGAGGTATTATTCTGAGAACAGAAGAGCCAATGGAGAACATTTAAAACTGCTGTCCTCCTTCATTTTTTCCCAGGCCTTTCCAAATAGGGAGCGGTGCTGACTGCCTCCAGGTGCTTTAGTGTCCAGGCTGGTGAGAAGCTTACAGAGGTGGGCGGTGCCCACGCACGCAGTGGTCCCTCCCTCTCCAGCGCTTCCCCCAACGCTTTCCCCAAGAAAGCAGAGGCCCCGCTCCTGTAACAGACAGCTCACGCAGGCACTGGACTCACAGCCGATGTCTCTGCATCTCCAGTCCTCACACCTGGGTCCCCAGCCTGCATGCTCTGGAGTTGTCCTGTCCCCAGCAGTCAGAACTTAGCCACTAGACAGAGGTCATTCTGGGAAGACTACCAGAAAGCGCCTGTCAAGGCCTCTGCTTTCCTCTCTTCTTTTAGACAGTTTTCACTTCCCTAAGTAGCCCCTAAAGTGACCCCAGCCTTCTTCCATGGGTCACATCCATCAGGTTGGTGCCATGTTAGGATCCATGGAGCACAAATGGGAATCTGCAGCTGAACTTTTAATTATTGTGACCTGGCCAAGTGACAACTTTGAAAAATGGTGCTCAACCTCATTGACTCAAATGAGTGAGTGGTGGACAGTCCTGAGGGTGGAGGTTTACCACTAGATGCGGGGAGTAGTCAGGTTTCAGAGAACCACCTCTGCACTTCTCAGGCTGATTTCAGAGGACAGCAGGCACATGTGTGCATGCCAGCTCTCATTACCAGGCTTACCTGGAAGCTGCTGGGACAGTTGTAATGGAAACCACACTGCTGCCAGCAGCAGCAGGCCAGGGATCCCAGTGTGCCTGGGAGGCATCCCTAGTCCCCCAGTCTCCCAGGAATATGTCCATGGGGAGCAAGGCCTCTGGCCAGGTCGGGACACATAACCATCCATCAGCCAAGCCAGACCTTCCTAGGCCAACCTGAGAGTCAAGACTGAGGCCCCGAGAGTCAAGACTGGGCAGCCAGACTGGACATGAATGTGGATTCTTTGTACTTGAAAAGTCAAATCCTTTAAGCTATGACCTGGCCTCTCTGCTTTCTTCCCAGTTTAGTTTCCAGGGGCACATGTGTTTCTGAGGTTCCCTTAGTGTGATGCTCACATTTGAGCATGCGTGAAATTCTCCGGACAGCTTGTGAAAACCCAGATTTTGGGGCCCCACTCCCAGAGTTTCTGAATCAGTAGACCTGGGAGGGGCCCAAGAATGTATGTTTCTGACAAGTTCCCAGATGATACTTGTGCCACCGGTTGGGATACCACACGTGGCAAACCAGCACCCTTGCATCTTAATAGTGGTGTGCGCTGCCTCAGACTGCAAGATAACATGGGAGGGCAGAGAGCATGAGGATGTTACTGGGATCTCCACTTGAGTATAATAGAAAGGACTACTGACTCTCCCCATCTGGATTTCAACCCTGGGAAGGGATGGTTCTGAGAAGCCAGCCACAGACCTGTGAATACACATGCGCGCGCATACACACACACCCCTCACACACATTGGAGTCACTGGACCACTCTGAATCTCTGTTCTCTCATCTGGGGCCCAACAGTAAAAGGGGAGAGTGGAGTATCTCCCCGAGTAACTGGATTAAGGGCCCGTCTCATAACCTGCACTCTCATCCCTTGTCCCCAGGCCTTGTACGGACACACGCAGGCTGTCACATGCCTGGCGGCGTCAGTCACCTTCAACCTCCTGGTGAGTGGCTCGCAAGACTGCAGATGCATCCTGTGGGACCTGGACCACCTCACCCATGTTGCCTGCCTGCCTGCCCACAGGGAGGGCGTATCTGCTGTTGCCATCAGTGACGTCTCGGTGAGGCTCTTCTTTCTCAATGTCTGTGTCCTCAACATGTCTAATGATTCTTCATGGTGACATGGTGGACAGTCCCCTGAGAAAAAACCTGGGCGCAAAGACCACCCCAGAGTGTATGGAGGCCCCAAATATGTGGGACATTCTCTGCACAGGCAGAGTGGTACCATCAACAATCTCAATTTTGGCCTCGATTTTATTTTTTGCTTCTTTATTTTTTTCCCCTCAAGGAGGTGGGCTGGTGGGAGGTGTCTGTTCTGACATGAGCATCGGGGAGTTGGGGAAGGAAGTTGACTTTGGTGAGGGATCTTCTGGGTCTCATTGACTGATCCAGCCAGTTGACTGCAAATCAGTGTGAGCTTGGCAAGCACCTCTGGTCTCCAAGTCAGGAAACACCTCTGCTTGTCCCTCCATGCTGGCTACTAAATATAAACCTGTCAGGAAGCACACCATGCGTGTGTGTATGTGTTTGTGTATGAGAGATAGAATAATATATATACTGTGTATATACATACATGCATGTATGTATACCAGTGTGGAGCTTTACACTGGAATCCCCATCATAGGATATGGGGTTTTCTGAGGCTCTGCATCTGCTGATAGAAAACTTGAGGGGCCTGGAGCATGCATAGACTGAGCAGTTGTATCATAGGAGGAGAAACAGGTCATGGATGGAGGAGACTTCTGGTGCTAACTGTGGCTGAAAGTGGTGCTCCAAATGGGCTTCAATCCAGGAAGAATATTAGATGGGCAAAAAGAGGATGGATGGATAGGTGGTTGGGCAGATGGAGGGATGAATGTGTGGATAGATGGAGGGTGGGTAGGTAGATGGATGGATGTTGGCTGAATGGATGAACGGGTGGATGTAATAGGGAAAGCGCCATGTTCTGATATGGAAGAAAATAAATTCATAAGGAATTATGTCCCCAGCCCTTAAAGAAGACTGATATCAGGGCAACAACTTGTCTGACCCACCGTGTCCTGGAGCTAACTGAGTTCAAGAAGTGCTGGCTGGGTGCTGAGCAGAGATGCATCAGACAGGGTCCCTGGCCTCAAGCAGACTCCACCAAGCGATTCAGGAAGGGACGTGATGGAGCTCAGCCCGGGGCACTGAAGAGGGGCCTGGAGCTCCCGACCTCCCTTCTGTGGTCAGGGCAAGGCTCAAAGGCTTAGCCCCAGATGGCTCTTGGGGTCCTTGGTGGGTCCTTGGTGACAGTGACCACAACTCTACTGGACACGAAATAGACAAGGAGTTAAGGAATGAACACTCCAGACATACACATTTCAGGAGATGCAATGGGCAAATTTCTCCTCAGAAATTCCCCCTGAGGGGACCTTGCCCTATTTTATGAACTACATGCAGTCATTCAAGTCCCTGTTCCCTGCCCTCCACCAGGGGTCATCCAAAGCTGCTTCACAGGGACAGGGCTGGCCAGCCAGGTGTAGACCCCATGTCTGGGCCTGGGATGGTACCCTGGCTAGGTCTTTTTGCCAGTCAGTATGTTGCCAGGGAGAGTGCTGTAGGAGGAGTTCAAAAGGTGAGCCAGTCAGCTTGTGCTGGGGACAGCAGTATCCAAATGCCTGATTTCAGTGTGAAAAGAACCAGGAATGCACCATTGTGTGAAAACACAGCAGGCCTGTGAGTCACCTGGGAAGAAGTGGATGTCTTAGGAGGTCTGGGAGTGCCTTGGTTAGTCTTCAGAGGACGGCAGGTGGAGGGTGCTTGGGTGTGCAAACTGAGTGAGTGGATAGATGGACAGGCAGTGATCCCAACCTGAAGTGAAGCCCACTCTCACTGCTGCAGGGCACCATTGTCTCCTGTGCGGGAGCCCACTTGTCCCTGTGGGATGTCAACGGACAACCACTGGCCAGCATTACCACGGCCTGGGGCCCAGAAGGAGCCATAACCTGCTGCTACGTGGTGGAGGGGCCAGCGTGGGACACAAGCCACGTCATCATCACTGGAAGTCAGGATGGCATGGTCCGGGTAGGTGTGCCTTGGGTGGAAGGAGGGCATGCTACTAGAAATGTGTTCATCTCCATTCTGTCCACTTCCTCTAAGAGTCAAATCTGCAGACCGCATTTAAACATTCCAGACCAGGTCCCCGCAGCATGTGAGGGCACAGGCAAGGGTTCTTTTTATATTAATAGTACATAAAATTTTATACACGCATATACTTCAACAATTAAAAAATACTTGTTGTCACAAGTTATGAAAGCTGAATGGTCAAATGCATCAGAACATAATTCAGTACTGACAGGAGACATATGGGCCATCCTTTCATCCATTCATCCACTGGTCTATTCATCCATCCATTAATCCATCTACCCATCCAGTTATTTATCTCTCTATCTACTTCTATCCATTTACTATTCCATTCATCCATCCACCCTTTCATTATTGCATTCATCCTTCCATCTACTCATTAGCCCACTTATTTGTCCCTCCAGCTATCCATCCACCTAACATTCATTGAACTCTGGCTGTGTACCAAGCACCTCATATATAAGGGATCCAAAGATTAATGATAAACAGGTCCTTGTCCTCAAGATGTAATATTCTAGAAAAAAAGACAAACAGAAAATGTACATATGTGTTTCATGCTATGACTGGGACAATCAGAGTGCCATGTATGCTCTGAGGAAGGCCTTGGAAAGAGAAACCATCAAGAAACCAGGAAGACAATAAAGGAGAAACATTGAGGAGGGAGGAATAGTGTGGGAAGAGCAAAACACAGGTGATTTTTCTGGGACTGACAGCAAGGAGGGAGGAATGAATAAGATGAGCAATAGTTAAGAGCTTTACTCAAGAAACTGTCATTTGAATTCCACAATTTTTGAAGGGAAGTGTCAGTTGCATGCCTTGAGGTATTCAAGAAAACACTCTTTGAATTCTACACACATTTGTGAAAGCTCCCTGTGGGCCAGCCAGCATGGCTGAAGCGCAGCCGTATCCTCCAGGAGCCTCCACTCCCAAAGTCTGAGAATCATCACAGAGGTGATGCTTCAGGAAGCAGAATGAGTAACAGGGTGGGGGCCGAGTGGAGAGTGGATTTACTTCCAGCAGAGGAGGTGGTATTTCAGCCAAGCCCCGAGGATGAGGAGAAGTCAGGGCGTACAGAGGAGGCCATGCAGGCTGAGGGGTCAGGGTGCGTGGACAGGAGAGACGACGCTGAGGAGCGCCCTCTGGGAAGTCCCCTTGCAGGGCCTCATCTGTGGGCTAGAGGAGCACAGGGTCTCTGCAGAGGGAAGGGTGTCCTGGGCTGGCTAAAACACGAGGAGATCATGAGGGTCGGGGCTGGGTGGGTCGTGGTCTGTCCTGTGGGTCAGTCAGAGGAGCCCGGGGTGGCTGGGGGCAGCTGCATTTCCTTCATGGGCCCCCAGAGCAGGAGCGTGAGTCTGCCAGTCGCTCTGCCCTTGTCCACTCAGCGCACTCACTGAGCTCCCGGGACGGCCCAGCGCTGGGCTAGACCCGGTGCGGCGCTCTCAGAAGCCCGCAAGTGGAGGCTGCTCATTGTCCTGTGGGGAAAGAAAGTTCAGGCTGAGCAAGTGAGATGCCATGTGTGGTCAGCCTGAGGGCACTCACCACAGACCTGGCACCATACATAGAGGACGGGAAGCCGTGCTGCTTAGTGGTAAGGGAGGTCTCTGGGAATGGTGGCAGACAGACAAGTAGGCACTAGCTAAGTAAAATGATCATGAGCTGACTGCTGACTCTTGTCCCTGCAGATAAGGGGTTGAGAAAGGTGCCCTGTGACCCAGGTGTGGGGAGGGAACTCATTCCGTCTACATCCCGTCTACGGCAGCCAAACTTCCCCGCAGGGAAACTGAAGCCTAAAATGGCTTTTATCCTGAGAATATGTCAACATCAGAAGTGAAAGAGGGCCATGCCCCGCTTCCTTCAGGGTCCCCCAGGTGTGGCGGAAAGGACAGGCCCCGAGCCTGCAGACAGGTTCGTTGCCCCAGCCCATGGCATGTTCTCTGTTCTGGACAGATCTGGAAGACTGAAGATGTGAAGATGTCTGTTCCCGGGCAGGCAGCGCCAGAGGAGCCCTGGGCTCCATCATCTCCAAGCCCCAGAGGTAACTGCTATGCTCCTGGTTCCCGGGAGCACCCTTGCCTCGCTCAGCCCTCCCTCCCCTCTTCTCTCCTCTTGAGGGCTGCAGCTCCAGCCAGACCTGCAGAGACCAGGGAAGACAGTGAATTTCTTAGGGTATTGACAGATCTCAGGTCAAGAGCACAGTTTTCTGTGAGCTGCTGGTGGAGTATGAATCCATGTTTAGAAGCCCCACTGAGGCCCAGCCTCACCCTTCAGGGACCGGCTGGCTCTGGGAGGCTCCTCGGGCATGTGAACGGTGCTGGTGGTGGTTGTCAGGGGTTCCCGAGCTCCAGGAGGGGCCACACCCAGCCGAGCTTGGCTTGATACTACCCATCTTCCTGGGTGACTCTTAAATGCCAAACTCCCCAGCCCAGGACATGGGTCCATCCAACTGGCCACTGGCCTGAACTGCCAGGCTGCAGACAGGAGCAGGGATGGCTTTGCTGCGTCCCCGGGGAGAGGAAGTGGTTCCATCGGCCCCATTCTGCCCTGTTGTCCCTGACTCAACATCCCCTACTCTCCACGGCAAGTTCCTCAAAGTGGGTCTGAGGGTGGTCTGCACCAGCATGGCCCAGTAGGTTCATGAAACATTTAGAGGTGGGTCCTAACCTCAAGGAAAAGATTGGAGAAGGATAGAGTTCCCATATCTAACAAGTCCCCAGGTGACTGCTGGTATCAGCAGAGTAAAAGAACCGCCACTCTGCAGCAGAGCCCTCTTTGGGGAGTAGCCTTTGGGCCTGGAGTAAGATGATCTGTTCTCACTTCTGTCACTATGGCCTCTGGCATCAGCACCACCAGGGCCACCGTCACAGAGCCGTGAGGGACAGAGCCGACCGGGAGCAGTTTCCACCATCCACTCCTCCCGTGTGTTCTCTTATTTCTCACGGCAACCCCATGAGGAAGATACTGAGGTGATACCTGGGTGAGAAGAGAACTGAGGCATGGAGCAGTTCAGCAACCTGCCTGAAGTGACCCGAAGCCATTGCTACTATAGTTCTCATTTGCCCCCAGAGTAGACATGCTCACTGCCAGAGCAAACTCCTTGGCCAGGGCCAGACCATCCAGGATGATCGCAAACACAAAAAACACAAACCTCACTCCTGGGGGTCCTGCATGGCCTCACTCTTGTGTTCTTCTGGTTTGTTCTGCATCCTGGGACCCATGATCAACCCCTAGAGAGAATGTTCCAGATTGTGGAGGCTTGTCTTCTACAGGGAGTAGCCATTTTTAGTTCAGTTTTGATATGTGCTCCACACTTCCTTGATTCATTTAGTCACTGATGGACATTGGCTGAGCCCCTGCTAGGTCCTAGAATCTACACGGGAATCCCTTCCTTCAACATAATGCCATCAGATGATGCCCTTGTCAACAACCTAGACTAACCTAGAATGGTGACCTTACAAAAATCTACAGCCACTGGGGATTCAGTTCACTGGTCCTAAGATCTCTAGGGTCCTTTGGGACCACAATGAATCAGCCCATCACAGTGTAAAAAGAGTCCTGTGCATTCTTAGGAGCTAACAGTTCTTCTTTGGAGGACAGGGGACAAAGTCTCTCCCCTGCCCCCACCCACTTGGAGGAGAGCTAGAACAGAGTTCTTATTCTCCCCCTGCTCATGAACTGTTCTGTGGCACACCAGTGTGAGAGCACGCCACCTTGGTCTTGGACTCAGCTGACCACTTCTGAAGCTACTGAGCTCTGATAAGCTAAAAGCATTTGTTCAGCCCATGGTTGATAAGTGGGTGTCCGAGCCAGAATGTTAGCTGAGTGGGTAGGTAGATGGATGAAGGGACAGATGGACAAAGGGCATCTCAGAGCCATTCCATTGGTTCTGGGAGTGCAAGTGGATTTTTTGGTTTCTACTCAGGATCGACAAGGTTGGGCTCATTGGGAAGGGGGCCTAGTGAAATGAGAAGCAAGATGAAAATCAGGAAACAAAGTTCTAGACCCAGCTCTGTCTTCTGCAACCTCTTCGGTCCTCAGTTTCCCCCTCTGTCAATAGAGGTGCTTCCTGTACCTCCTAACTTGTAGGAAGCAGAAGACAGAAAAGTAATACCATAGACAAAGATCTCCTCGACAAAACATGGGTCATGATTATCATTTTCTCGGATTACTAGGAAACTTCTCCCCTAACACACCGGCCGATTACACGAAGGGACTTACCTGATGGTGTCAGGCAGACAGGAGCCTCACACCCATTTCCTTCCTCTGCTATTTGTCCTAACCAGCCTGAGGTCACCACTGCCAAGTAGAATTAATTGCTCTGCTTGTGGTTACAGTTCAAAGGTGGATTTGGATAAAATGACACAAGGGCACAGACATAGTCATAAAAATCAGGCGAGGCCGCTGCTTAGAGTTAGCAAATCCATGTGCAGGTTTACAAACCTAAGCCACTGAAGGGCTCGCTGCCCTCATAATATTGCTTATAACTGTTTTGTTGGAAGGGGACTAGTGCTCGGCCTGACACACAGATATTTATGCCTGTCTCTTGGTGTGTATATTATTGCGTTCCTTGAATACCTTGAGAGGCAAGAAAAGAGTTCTTTGAGGGTACTGAGAATATGAGGGTTGCTGCATTTGTGTGCAGATGTCATCTAATTTCTGCCTGGAATTCATTTATTTGTCATTTGCAGCCAAGACCAACCCAGTGGAGTCCAATTTACTTTAGGAATCACTCCGTAGATTTGGGCTCAATCCAGTACACAAAAAGTCCTTGGGAAAAGCTTGGTTTGGGAACTTATGCACAAACACAAAACACATGTGCATTTCCTGGGGCACAGAGCTGTCTGTCACCCTGGGTCAGCTGGGACAGCTGCGTCGCTACTGCCCTGACTGCAGCCAAGTGACCTCGTAGTGGTGGACCCAACTGATGTCTCTCCACCTCACCCTCCACAAAGGATTCACCGTCTGTCCCCATACACAGTCATTAAAATGAGTGAAGTAGCAATCATTGAGTTCTATTTTTTGAAAACAAACATTCTCAGCATTTAATTATTGGTCATGGCATGAGCGGATTTAGGTAAGTTGATAATGCCGACTTTATGTAATTTATTTTTACTAGGCAATTACAGGCTGCGTTACATCCTGGCAGCAAGGTATTGTGGGGTATCTTATTAAGCATAAAGCCAGTAAACACTGATGAACAATTTTGCTGAACTAGGCATGCAATTTAGAAAGCAATAATACACAAATCCAATTTGGTACACAATGGATACCGCAGCACGTCAGCACATGTAACTATCACAGCCTGCAAATTAAATTGGGACGGCCCTTTTTGCAACAGCACAGGCCAAGATTAAATATATTTTCCCCCTCAATTTAACAAGTTGCTGACCACAAATATAAATATATGTGTATGTGTTTGCAGCCCTGTGTGTGGATGTACACACGCATGTGTGTTAAACCGCTCAGGTTTTCTAACTATCCCCTTGCACATTCCTCATAGTTCACCGATGGGAGAAGAATCTTGCCCTTTGCAGAGAACTGGATGTCAGCGTGGCTTTGACAGGGAAACCCAGCAAGGCCAACTCTGCTGTGACAGCTCTGGCCGTGTCCAGGTAACAACAAGCTGGCTGCTCCAAGCCTCCAGCAGAGGGCACTGTGCTGCCCCTAGGAAGCCCTGGCTGTTGTACTCAAGACACTGGGCCCTAGGAGGTGGACTCACGACAAGGACCCAGGAACCCGGGGGGCCCCAGCATGTACAGTAGCAAGATGGCCATGTAGGGCCTAGGAAATGGTTCTTAACACACATATTCTTGCTCTTTCTTTCTCCCTCTCACTCTCTTGAATGTCTATGAATTCATAGAGAAATCCAGAAAGTAAAAGTATATTGACTTGTAATTTTATCCTAAAGAGGGACTTTTTTCCTGAGGTCCCTTGATGATTGGTATGATGGTTTTCCTACATTATAGAAAATGCCTTTCAAGGATTTGAAGCCAATGTGGAATGGACCGGTGTCAGATACTACCCTTGGCAGCATTGTTTTATTCTTTACAATTATTCAATGGTGGAACTTAGAATCATTAGCCTGTTCTACACACTAGGCGTGTTAGTCTTAGGGGACCAGATCTTCAGGAGTCCTGTCCTTCTCCCTGGAGTGGGGCACCCAAGTTCTGCTGTGGTGGGAAGGCCAGACTGAGGCAGGGTGGCTTAGGGTGGGGCGTATGGGAAGGGACAGAAGGCCCTGAGCCTTCTATCCTTTGCTGGAGAACTTGCCCTACCTTCTGCCTACCGGCCTGGGTGCATAGCTCAAAGGATAGGAGATACTCCCAAAGATGCTGAAGGGAAAATGTCAGGGTCTTGCCCTGTTCCCCAGAGCCCCAGCATCTGGGAGCGTCCCCTCAGTGCTTCCAAAGCCATAACTCTCCTAGGTCAGAGCTCTCCCTGAGTCACAAGACTCTCCCCTGCTTCAGGTGGAGGCCAGGTGCAGGCTCTCCTGGGGTCCTGGCCTGAACCCCCTCCCCCATGTCTTAATGTCCTGTGTGCAGTCTGGGATAAGCAGGGTGCACAGGTTTGCTCTAATATTCCTCTTTATTTGTTCTCTTCCCAAGAAACCAAACCAAACTCCTGGTCGGTGATGAGAAGGGAAGAATATTCTGCTGGTCCGCGGAGGGGTAGGAGGCGGCAGCCGGTGGAGGCTCTGGCACGGCGGCCATGTGACCCAGCGGGCAGCAGGACTCAGGGCTCAGACGCAGCACCTGGGATGCAAAAGAAACCCCCAGGACCTCCCTTCCAACAGGTCTGAAGAGGAGGCCACAGGCCGCTGGAGCTCCATACCCTGAACTTTGGCCTTGGATTACACAAGGATGTGAATCAATAAAACAGATACACATGTGCATCGGGACCCGTAAGCAGCCTGCTGGAGACTGTGGCTCACGGGTGCCAACCAGCACTCGCAATTACACAACTCACCTTTCAAAGGGCTTATTGAACTGAAAAAACATTGGGCTGCTTCCTGGAAACTAGTGGGAAATATGGTATTGTTATTTTATTAAAACAACTATTTTCCAAATAGAAGAGGGCTCTGGAATTTGAAATTGCCGGCCTTTCCCACTGAGGTGTTTGTGGCTTCACACTTAGAAAGGCAGAAGGCTTCAGGGATGCACGGTCCACTTCTGGAGTGTTTTTCAGCCCTCCATTTCCCTCAGTGGCATCAGAGGAATCTTGTGGTCTTGCTCTCTGTGCAGGGGACCTTGGGGAGCAGGAGATCTCATTCAGGAGGCCCAGCTTCCATGACTGGGCTCAGAACAGACACGGTGGCTGCCCACCGCAAGTACAGGCAAGTCAGCTGGGAGGACGCACCCTGCCTGGGGTGCCTGCCCCTACTCTGCATGCCACAGTGGGTCCTGGCTGGGCTCGGGCTTAGCAGGCTTTTCTGGGGACCTGTCTTTACAAGGTCAAGGGCCCCAGTTCACATACTGGTTTTAAGCTGCAGCTTATCCTGGGAGAATCTGGACTGCCAGGTGACTTTTCTCCATCTGAAAATAAATGGCAGGGGGCAAGTATTGAGCCCCTCTGAAAAATTCCAGCACCTTTAGATTCAGGCATTAGACCATGAAGGCAACACCCTCATTCTTACATCTCCCCACCTCCAGCCTTCCAGAAGCCTTGAAAGGAAATTCACCTGCCTCTTCAATGAAATCCAGCTAAGGTGAGCACCCAGGGATTTGGGGTGGCAACGCTCCTCAGTTTTAACTCCCTCCCCACAATTTCCCTTCTAGAGAATACCAATTCTTCCCAGATTTCTCTAAGCCCTGCAGACGCCCTGGTGGGTGGCCCATCCCAATTTAGCTCAGGCCTGGGGCTAACAAGAAAAAGAACACAATGTCTCATGGTCCAGGTCATCTGGCCTCCAGGGAGCAGCAAGTCCATGTAAAGATAAATATTAAGAAAGTAATGGTGGTGTGAACTATGTCAAAAATAGTGAGTGAGTGAAGGATGATTAGGAAATAGTGATCTGTCTGTCCACTTCGAGTTCTTTGCAAACGGAAAGATGGAGGAAGAGATTCAGCTCAGGTCCAGAGCACCCCTCTCTGGGTAAGGAGGGCATGTGTCTGACCCCGGAGGCAAGAATCATGCCTCCACCCATGCTGTCTGCATGTGCTATTAGTAGACAGCCCATTTGCAATGCCCTAGTCAGTCTGGACCTGCAACGGAGGACCATAAATTGAAGCACAGAGAGCACCCTCCCCGGGAAGGCCAACAAGCAAGGTCATAAATATCAAGGGCTGTTGTCATGTTTCAAAACACAGCTCATGTTATTTACCCCAGACTGAGAGGTCTGCTGGCCCAAAGGCTGTCTGGGGCTCATTCATTCAACAAGCATTTCCTGAGCTCTGCATTTTGGTTCCCCAGGTCACAGGAAAAAAATTGAAGGATGGGGGTGGATCTTGTTGCTGGGGTCTTGGAGCTAAGATGCTTGTGCAAACAAATGTGACATGAGGTGGCAAGGCTAAAGAGAGATCTCTTGTGTTCTAGGGCATGTCACTCTGGCTGGGCTCACTTGCTAGGGCTGCCAGGACTTAGCCCTGCAGGCTGGGGGCTTAAACCACAGAAAGTTTTCTTACAGTTCTGGAGGCCAGAAGTCTGGAGGAGTGTGTCCTCAGGATTGACTTCTTCTGAGTCCTCTCTCTTTGGCTTGTGGATAGTCACCTTCTCCCTGCATCTTCACGTGGGGTGGGGCAGGGAGGAAAGCCCCAGGAAGAGTGGGGATCCAGAGTCAGAAGGTCGTTGGCAACCTGGGTGGGAGGAGACTCCAGCTGGTCTCAGCATTTCAGAAGCAGCCAGCCTGGGGTCCCTGGCAATTGCCAACGGTGGAGGTAAGTCCAGGACACAGGCCTGATGAAGGGGGAGAGAGCAGGCACTAGGGCCCCCAACAGCCAGGGCAGAGGCTGGGCCAAAGTATAAATAAGGACCACATGGATGCAGCCCTGCTGACACCCCAAATCCAGCAGAGATGAGGGGCCTAGGAGCTGGAGCTGTGCCAATCTGTGCGGCCACAGCTCAGCATCCAGAGACTGGAATCTGGGGCCAGGCACACACAGTGATGATCACAGCTGAGGGAAGCGCCCAGGGACCAGGGAGCCCGAGCCCCATTCCCAGGGTCCCTACTGCCTGTCAACTTTGGCCTCAGTTTCTGTATCTGGAATATGAGACTCCAGTGTCCACATGATGACTGGTTCTGAGATTAAAATCACATCTGTTTATCCGATGGTGGAATGAAGCAGACAACAGACCTCTCGACCTTGACATGATGTCATCTTTCAATGCATCACTTGTTCATTCACTCACTGGTATCTTCTCTTGCTGAGCCAGGCCTTGTGCTGGGGCCCTGGTAGAGAGCCATTCTGCCCCTGTCCAGGAAGCCCTCTGCCCAGGCTGGAAAGAGACACAAAGAAAGCACAACAGGAAGCAAGTCATTGTCACACCCAGAGGTTTATCAGGCTGGAGCCAGTGCGCTTACGCAGGGATGGCATTGCTACAGGAATATCCTGGAATGCAAGTGTGACTCCCAGGTGCTGGGTCTCAGCTAGAGCAGAAGCCACAGTCTGTCTGTTTGTGTGTGTGTGTGTGTATGTGTGTGTGTTTTAATCTCTTGAATGACGCTGATGTGGGCTCTAGAGTCACCACTTGGAGACATTCTGAAGTAGACAGAGACAGGCTGACTCTGGAGGTATTTGCCCACTGCTGCCCACCCTGCAGTGTTAGAATTGGTAGCTTGTGAGGGGCCTCTGGGGTCAGGGTACCCCCACATCCTACCCACCTTCACCAGGTCAGCCTGAGACAGCAGTCATGTGCAGCTCTCACCCAGCTGAGCTCCTCCCGTGACACCTTCTTAATCACTGAGAGGCCAGCACCCAGCCCACCTCCACCAGCCATGCAGCAGCCCCTGCTCCCGCGCGGGGAAAATCGCAGCTCTGTCACCAGCAGATAAAGGCTGCTCTCCCACCCATCCCTCATGGTAAGGCTCCACCTCCTCTGAGAGGTGGGAAAGAGGAGCCAGTGCAACAGACATTCCTCTAATTGCACAGAGGAAAGGAGGATGCTCTGTGGGGCTGCGAAAACACCAGATCAGGGTGTGCACCTGAGTCCACCCTCCGGAAGATGTTCTACCTGGGGTCCCAGGGAGCCTCAGGATGCACCCATCTGGCCATCTGGACAGGTATAGGCCCACATGGACATACATACTTAAAAGAAAGAAGTATTAACTGGGCATCTCGTGTTCGTATTTGCTAAGTCTAGGCAACCTGCTCCCTGGATCCCTTAGAGGCCACAAAAGATGGTACCCTGCCCAAGGGCCTGATGCACCCAACAGGTCCTCAGTGTGTGACAGGTGAATCGCTTCTTCTGAGCAGACTGACATTCAACAGTGGAAGCATGTGGAGGGCCCACATGGGGCTCTTCGTGCCACCAATCAAGCTTCTAGGGCCTCTGCATCTCCCTGGCTCTCACTCCTGGTGACAGAGCCTCTCGCCCCTTGCTGGCCCTCTGCTTTCATTCCTTTGTTCCCTGAGCTCTAAGAGCAACCCAGGGCCTTGGAAGTCACGTGTGACAGCAACTGCCTCCCCCGGTCTCAGGTAGCAGCCAGGAGCCGTGTCCTGAGAACCCAGTTCCAGGGCCTGCAGAGAACTCGGAGATTGGATTTGACCACATTAACATGCAGCCAAGCAGGGCACGTTTGGGGAGGAACAAACCCTTCATATGAAAATCCTGATGAAATTTGTTTAGCATGAAATCAAATCTCTTAAACCAAAATTGGTTTTGCTTTAGTAAGTTCCTGGGTATATAACAGATGCCCAGGTGGGATGGGTTGTGTGTATAGGGAGTGTGGGCATGCACACATGCATTCAGACCTGAGTCTGAATGCTGGCTTCCATTGCTGTCTGACGGGCTGCTACCTGCAGCACCTTCATGGCTTCTTAGTAAATAGAAGGAGTCTCCCAATTGTCTCCTTCCTCCAAATCTCTGAAATCTCAGGGAACACTGTGTTTCCCTGGCTGTGGTCTCTGCCCCACAAGCTGATAGATAGAGACACACCCCTTGTCCAAGACCATTTCCCACCATTTATCAGGAGAGCATCATTAGAGGTACAGAACTCCGCAATGACTGGGAAGTGGGTCATGCCCCAAGAGTGTCTGGTGCTCAGGAAGGCTGAGAACACTTGCAGAGGCTTAGGCAGCAGGGCCAGTGGAGGGGGGCGCCCTCACGGGGCTAGAGGTGATACTCACAGGGAAGCCGGAACAGGGGGAGTCCTTAGGGATCAGACCTTAAGGGCGTGCAACACCTTCCAGGCAACTTCCTACAAAACAAAACGGGTCCCCAGTGGATGACATGCTCCTGTGCAGTAAGGAACACAGCCCTTGAAAGCAGGGTACTCCCACCCCTCTTGAACCACAAGCTGGAGAAGCCCAGGGACCTTGTCGTCCATGGTACAGCGGGAGCAGAACCTCCACTGGCATGAGAGGCCTCAGCTCTTCAGAAGCCTGTAGTGACCAGGGCATCGGCCAGTTGTGTCCCCGGCCCATTTAGTCCTCAGCAAACCCAATAGTGACACTCCCATCAGCCTAGGGGAAGGGGTGCCCAGCCCCTCAGTCTCCATACTGGTAATCTTTGAGGCCTTGAGACCGCAGCAAAGTTACAAACTTGTGGTTTGAGCCTGTAGGTAGCTTCGGTTTGGGCCATGAAGTGCTAATCATTATTTTGAATTTAAATGCCTTGAAGAGGCTGGTTTAGCATTTCCAGTTTGCAACAGACCCCCTCCTCTTCCCATTGCTTTGTTTATGCAGGTTGTTTCTGGCATTCACATTATTAGACTGGCCCCAGAACCTGTTTTAATTTACGACAATTGGGCCAGCACTTGGGGATGGATGCATGGCTTGGGAAATGTACAGACATTCCATCTTGCTACATGCAAGGCAAAAGAGCACCCACACCATCCCACTGAGCCCAGTGCCTTAGGGTCACTAAGAATTTCTCTGAGGGCAACACCCTCTGCTGGCCACCCTCCAATTCAG